CATAAAACATGTGTCACACATGCCCTTTTCTATATTTTGTTTTTGGTGACCTGACCTGACCTGACCTGACCTTGACCTTGACCTTTGAATGACATGGTGTGCAACGAATATTGTCTTGGTAGTCTAAGAACACGTTTTGGGCAATCAGTCTCAGTCCATTCTTCGGCAACTACGGTGCAAGGCCGATACTGTAGAAACTTGCATTTTGTACCCTTGACCTGACCTTGACCTGACCTCTGACCTACTTAAGAAAAAAATGGGCTCTTAAGATCCGTCTTGTTGAGAGCTTTCGATTGCCGTTTTCCCCGTCTTTCTACGACCATCGGTTCGGAAGTTAGACAGGGGGGGGGGGCAGAATCTGCCCCCCCCCCCCCCAGCAGGGCGCGTATGGCTGAATAGCCCAGCGGGGCGCGGGTTAAGATAGAGCAAAAAGAAAAGCACCAGTGGACTCAGCACGTCAAGGCATGCTTCGAATGATACCTATACTTTTTTGCTTCCGTGTACTTCAATTTTTATTAGTGAGTATCTGCTAACGCAGTTTCTTGGGTAGCACAGTATTTACACAAACAAACATGCTTCCAGCCCTTGGATTATTCCTCACTTGAATGAAAATTTTGCTATTATAACTATTCCAAGCAGTTGACAGGTTTTAGTGCTATGCAAAGTCGGAACCATGGGGCCCGGGAACGATTTTCAAGTTGGGGGGGGCGAGCCTAAAATGCCTGACATGATGCATATGAAGCAGTGGCGTAGTTAGGGGTCTAAGGGGACACGTACCCCCCCCCCACACACCCATCGGGTTGAAAGGGACCCTCGGGTCCGAGAGGACCTGCGGTGCCATTTGACCGCTGAGGGTTAACGATGGCCATATTTCGACTCAGAATGGCCTCATAGGTCTCGTTAGAGCACCTTATGGGCCCTAAATAACCACACTAAAATCTCAACAAGGGCCCCACGCCGGCTTCTGAGGGAATCTTGCAGATTTTAAGGGCCCCTCGGTGGTCTCCAAAGGCCCGTTACTGGCCTCTGAGAGTTCTTACCGGCCTATGAGGGGCCAGTTCTAGGGGCATTTCCCGCCTGTGATGGTCACACACTTATTTTTCCGAGGGTCCCATAGCGGCAACTGTGGGGGCCCTCATCGGCGCCTATGAGGGCCCACACCGGTGTCTTTGAGCGTTTCACACCCCCAACTCTGAGTGCCTATACCAGTGCCTTTTAAAGCCCTATATGGGCGGCTCTGAGGACCCAACAGTCAACACCTGCGCATCTAAAGGCCACCCACTGGAAACTTTTGAGGGCCCCACACCGGTGACTCTGAGCCCTGAGGGCCCCACCGGCGTCTGACAGTACCATGCCGGTCTCTAAGGACCCCACAAGACTTCTTCTGCCGGCCTAAGGGCCCCGTGCCGGTCACTGAGAACCCCCTGTTGGTTTGTAGAGGGTTCGCGTCAGCAGCTCTAAAGACCCCACACCCGTCTGTAACGGCTCCACACCAGCGTCTATGAGATCCCAGAGCAACGCCTGTAAGGACCCTCACCGGCGCCTCGGAGAGAATCACACTAGCACCTCTGTGCGCCCGAACCGGCACCTGCATGGCAGCCCATACCAATGCCTTTAACCCTATTAGTGGCAGGGGGGGTTGTTTTTATCCACCCCTCAGGTTTTTCGGGAATATCTCCGAAACCGCTGAAGCTACGATGCTGAAATTTTCTGACTTTTCCTAAAACTAAATTGGGCACATTCCCTGAAAATTTCAAGTTCATAACTTTACCAGGGGCGGCTCCAGAGCACTGGGAATTGGGGGGTCCAATTCGTGAAGCGAGTCATTTGGGCGAAGATCACGATGCTGCACCAGTTTTACGAACAGTGAATAAAAGGTATCATGTGATAACATATACAGTTATTGTGCATCCTCTTTTGACACGTTTTTGCTATAATAGGCGGATCCAGGCGTCCAAAAAGGGGGGTTATGTTTTACCTCCCAACATAGGTGCCCTGACACCGCCTATGCATTACCAATACAATTTTAGTCGTTCTCTCATAAGAAAATTATAACATAACAAGACCATTACCACCCTTTTTAGAAACAGTACCAACAAAAACCTTATTTACTATACTTTTTGTGTACCCCCAATCTCAATGATCTGTATCCGCCTATGATTTTTGAAAATGCATATTTTTAGGATCCATGTGAATTCCTGGTTCATTCTCTATCGATCGGCAAAAGTTGCGTTAAGATTGGTTCGGAAACCTGGCCGTGATAAACAGTCTAAAATGTATCTGCAATTTACCCGTTTTTACCCCCCTCTACCCCCCTATTGACATTTTTTAATTTTTATTTTTTAGAAATGTAGATCACGTTGAGCGAAATCGAATACCGTTTGAATTTTGAAAATCGGCCCGTTAGATCTCGAGATATCAAGGGGGGGGTCGTAAACAGCCCCCCCTGCCACTAATAGGGGGTAGCCAGGAGCCTGCCACTAATAGGGTTAACCCGCGCCCTGCTGGGGGTCCTGGATTTCCACGCCCTGCTGGGGGGGGGGTGTTTGAACACCCCCCCCCCCTTCTAACTCGGCTCCTGGGCCACGTAGCGATACGCGGAAGGCGGCGTTCGAAAGAGCGTCAAAAATAATGAGGAAATCACTTCGGTCAATTTTTTGGTCAGGTCAAAGGTCAGGTCACCAGAGGTCATTGAAGGCAAAATTTCGCCGATTTCCAGGTCGAATGTCGACAATTTCCAAGAAGCCAACGCATAACTCGGCAACCAATAGAGCTACAGCGCCGCGGAAAAGCGCATTCGATAGCCCTTTTAACGCCCTTTCTGAGTAATGTTCTCAGATTTGACCTAACGTCAACGGTTTTGCCTGCAGGGGGCAAAAACTGCAAAAATAGCCGATTTTTTCGGAAACAGTTTTTCTGCAATAACTTTTGACCCAAGTCTTGTACGAGCTCACTTTTACCGGCATCGTGTTCCTCTCGTCAAGACGCATCGAATGAACTATAACTTGACCTTGAAAGGTCAACTTGAAAATTTGACCTCAGGTCAAGGTCATGACCTGACCGGAAAGGGTCATGTTGCATATCAGTCGATCCGTATCGTCGAGCTGAACACATCTAAGGCGTTTTCATCGCTCTAGCATGCCTCTATCAAAAGTTATTTGCGAAAAACTGTTAGATACCATTCGTGACCTTAGATGACCTCAGGGCATAAACAGGAGTCACGGACACCATTTTCATGTTCAGTGTGTCTAAACCACTTGTAATTCAGTGTTTAGGAGTGTTTATAATGTCTTTCGTCCAAAAGAGGCGCATTTCAATTTTCTCCCATTGACTTATAATGGGGAGGTCGCAAAATTGACCTGACCTTAGGTCATCGATATCAAAATTCTGAGATATACATTTTGTACATGCTATTGCTCTTAGCAATCGCTGAAAGTTTCAAAGCGATCGGTCACTCGGTGTAGCTATGACAGACATTGAAACTTTTTATGAGGTTAGGTCACTTCAAGTGACCTGGTGACCTGACCTTGAATGACCTTGGTCTGAAATTTTCACAACATGTGTAGAATTGATGTATGATAAGGTGTACCAAAAACGGCGGCGCTCCGCGCCGCCGTTTTTGAGATATTCGCGAAAAACCACAAGGGGGGGGGGGGGTGTTCAAACACCCCCCCCAGCAGGGCGCGGGTTAAAGGCCCCTTACCGGCGGCTCTGAGGGCCCTATACGCCGGTGATTCTGACGGTGCTACCGATAACCAAATGCATCAGACAAGCCCTTAGTGTCGCTGAGCTTTAATCCCATAGATACCGGCCTTCCGAGGGCGCCACGTCAGTGCACTCATTGCCCCACACCCCTCCCTCACACCCGGAGCGGGTAAACTGTGTTATACCTATATTATAGCAACGATTTTACCACCGTTGTACGTTACATATTTCTCAAAGTTTTCTCAAAATGGTCTAGTATAAAATCTGGCCTGCCAAACTCATGGCCAAGGCCAGGCCCAAACCAAAGCGGGATGACAATAGCAGATGTTGTCGAATCGATACTGTATCAGCAGAAACCATTCAGATGGCTAGGAAAATGCCGTGTGATGATGTTTAGATGGAAAACAAGAAGGAAAGAAGTCCGGAAAAGGGAGGAAAGATCCTTTTACGCTGCCTCAATGTTGAGGGGGCGCCGCCCCCTCGGGCCTCGGCTCTCGAGTTGGGGGGGGGGGGGCAAGCGCCCCCGCTGCCCCCCCTGTTCCCGGGTCTATGGGTCACTCAACCATCCCGCGCCGGCAGTCTCCCATGGCGGCGCCGGGCGCGTAACGGCCGCCGCGCCGCCGCTCTGGCAGGATGGTTGATTTTATACCCCTGTTTTTAGAAAAGTTGTGGACCGATTTACTTAATTCTTGCATGAAAAGATCCGCCATTCAATTCTTAGCAGGTAGGTACCGAAAATTTGACGTCAATGCAATTGCACGGTCCGCCGCCCATATTGCGGTGCTGCCATCTATTGACAAGGCTGGAGAGCTAAAGCCGTTTGGCTATTTCCACTTCTGACACACCATGGGGAGCGACATGACAATTGGGCGAATTGGTCAGAAGTTCTGCTTGGGGGGGGGGGGGGATGAAGATACGATGCGGACTGGAGTGGAGGCAAAATCAAGATTACTTTACTAATGAGGATTTGGCAGTATATTCTGCAATATGGCAGCAATACTGTGGTCTACAAAAAAGCGCGCTAGCCGCTAGTTACATAAGCGCCATTACACCCCGCGGACCCCGCGTGTGGCGTTCCGGGCGTTCCAGTTCGACACTTGTTCGACACGGTATATCAACGGTATATAGCAGTTCGATATTTGTGAAGGCGTTGCTGGCGTTGCTGATATCCAAAGACCTTCTGCAAACTCCTTTTTATTGGTACCTCCAATTCAGAAGAAGACATTTCTGTATCAGTATCTTGATCTGTCAGCACTGCGTTGCGTTTTTCCACCCGTCAGTTCCTTTTCATCAATATTTTGACCATGGCTTCCGTGTCTGGTGTCTCTGGTGATTCTTGCTGCTCTGGATGCAAATGGAAGGAATACGAGCTGGTTTCAGTTGCATACCACAACGAGGAGCGCGCCCAGCATATTTTTCGTGAGCACGGAATCCTTCCCTCAGGCGTCACTTGTCCTTTGTGCAACAAGAAGTGTACGTTCTATGAGGATAGAGGCCTGTGGCGCTGCACTTTTTCCTCCAGAGTGCCTAAGCAAAAGAAGTGGCGCAGTTGCTCCTTCAGCATTTCAGACAAAAAAGGGACTTTGCTTGAAGGCAGTCACATCAGCGCATGGCAAATACTTCTGTTTATTAATCTGTTTGTGAGGAAGCAGTGGTGCCACAGCACTGCCATTCAAAATCTGGATATCTCGCTGAAGACAAGCGTTGACTGGAGAATCCTTTGTTCAGAGGTCTGCGAAAACTGGTTGGATCACCAGGAGCCGATAGGTGGACAGGGAAAGGTTGTAGAAATCAGTGAGACATTTTTTGTCAATCGAAAGCTCAACCAGAGTCGCAAACCAAGTGGGGTGTGGCTTTTGGGGGGCATAGAACGAGACAGTGACAAGAAGTTCGTGGTTCCCATCTCAGGACCACCAAGCTCAGATGTACAAAGACAGGATGGGGGAGCTCTCATACCCATAATCCAAAAGCATGTGCTGGCAGGGACAATTATCCACACAGACAGTGGGGCAGCTTATCGTCGCCTGACAGAGTTTGGTTTTCAGCACTATACTGTTGGTCACAAGGAAAACTCAGTGAGCCCAATTGATCAGGAAGTGAGGACGCAAAAAATCAAACGGCTCTGGAGGGATGTAAAAGAGTGGTGTGCCCGACCCGGAAGCAAGGCGGAATATGCCCACCAGTACCTGGCACGGTACGTCTTCGTGAACTCTGTGCCACCAGAGGAAAGGGTACACCACTTTCTGCAGGCTGCAAGGAAGATTTACCCTCACCACAGTCAGCCGCGGAACAACAACTAGATTTCAGGTAGGTAAATTTGATATTTATCCTCCCATAACCCCCCATTACCAACATTTCCCTAATTTTCTATCCATTCCCCTCATGTTATTATCTTTATTAATCTTATCATTACCTTTATATCTTTATATCTTTATCTTTATTATCTTAATATCTTAATAGTTTATATCTTTAATATTATCTTTATTATTATTCTCTCCCTCTCTCCCCCCTCTCTCTCTCTCTCCCTCTCTCTCTCTCTCTTAAGCTCAGGTTCCCAACATTTGGCCAATTTTCTAACCATTTCTGTCATGTTTTATTCCCTATCCCACCCATAAACTCCAGTTCCCAGATCATGATTTTTCCACACAAAGTTAGACATCAACCACCTTTTCAATTTATCAAGCATCTGCTTGCCTAACTAGTCCAGTGTAATTTAGAAAAGATCCCTAATTAAAAATCATAAATTGGCTTTTGACAACATAGATCAAGCAGAGGGGTGCAAAAATGGACTTCACCAAAAGGTCTGGAGCCTGGGCACTAGTATTGTTCCTCTGCAGTCTGCATCGTTCTGCATCATATCATACCCAGCAGCTGGCACTTTCATCATAGTAGTAGATCCTCACCATAGTAGATAGGAAAGAGGCATAGGGAGAAGATGCTCATGGGGTGCCGCCTCATCTCAATGTCACCTGGTTGTATCTGTTTTTACTGTTTGAATGTGATGATATTTGGACTCAGCCTACCAAATATTCAGGCAATTGGATTGGTCCACGACTCTTGAGAAAAATTTATAGCGTCTGTGCAGTCAATTTCTTGGCTTTTGCAGTCTTGAGAGCATGTCCGCGTGTTCTTTGCCGGTTTGTACTGGTCTCTAATTTCAAAAACTCTTCTCCAGCAATCAGCATTCACCTTGCCATGTCCATGGACTGCCATGGACCAGCTTGTTTATCTCGTTCATGTCTCCCCTTCTCCTTCGATCTGCCAGTGAGTCAGTTTCAGTTGGTCTAAACGATCCTGGTATGGAAGATTAGCGAGCCCAGGCACAAGTTTTTTTTTTGCTCTCCTTTGGATCCTGTAGCCTGTCGAGATCCTTCTGGAGGAACAGGGACCAAGCTTGAATGTCATGCCTATTCCATGCGAGGGCGTCTTGTAAATTGGTAGGAACATTTCCCTTTCCATGTAGGTAGGTGAATGTCTTCTTCATTGTTCTGTCTTCCCAGCATGGAGTTCTCCGCTGCTGCGGCTCTCATCACCTGCTGAAATACTTTGAGGTCTGGTGCCTAATCGTGATTCCCAGATCCTTTTCTTTGACAGTTGAGGTAAGAGTGGTTTTCCCCAAGGCCCTATACACCAGGTACGGTCGTCCGGCGATTCTACCTGACCGTGATGTTAGCCCGTGACATCATTTGGAGTGAAGTCTCGAAGCATCATTCAAGCCTCATGTAAATTTGCAATTTTTGAAGCGCTGTAGAATGAAATCGGCAAGAGAAATATCAAGACTAAATAGGGGAGAACGGGGCGATTTGGCCGCCCTTTTGTACTAGATGCCGGCAGCGCTCTTGCGTTACCTTGGGCCAGAATTGGAGGAACGGTACTGAGGGCACACACCGGGCAAAACCACCGAAACCCAGACTGAGCTTGGACTGAACCTGAAACCAACCGAAACATCCCAAAAATGCTTGAAAGCACGCGAGATTGGTGTGGATATCTACCTACAGTAAGATATGAATTAACTGCACGTGCATAGTTCATGCCCCAGGCACCCCAGTGCAGTCATTTTCATGACATCATGTAGCGTGTGTCTAGTTCTATCAGTGTTCCGACTTTTGTGTCGCTAGATCGACGTTTCCCGGGATCAGAGGATCCCTCGTCAAAACCGTTATCCGCCCCCCGCACGCGCAGCTTGCACCCCTCGGATATTATCTCGCCGGAATGTCGTGATCAAATGTATTCTTCTTATGACCTGCAAGTTTTGAACCAGTTAGAGCTGCCGTTTACCCTGCAGGCGTGGCAACGTACGAAGGGGTGCAATCGGCTTGCACGTGCATAGCTCATGCACCACAGAGTTTAGCTCAACCAAATGTGCATTATTTTGGAGGCCTTGCCTGGGACTACCATTGAACCGATTTTGAGGTTCATAGCTTAAACTTTCTTTGAGCCAGAGGACCTCACGTCAAAACGGTTTTCCGCCCCCAGCACGTGCAGCCTGCACCCCTCGCAGACGGTGACCCCCCTGGAAACTGGTTCAAGGTGTTACCGATGTGTCCCGCCAGTATTGCTTTGCCCGTGACCTCGGGTTGACCTGTAGCCTTGACAAAAAATTTCGTGTCACCGAAACTTTGAAGCGGAATAGCATGTGCCACGAAGCACCGAGCGAACCGAGGCCAGCACCAAAAGTTTACCTCGCCGGAGACGAATCAAACGGTCCCACTTTCGTCCCGATCGGTCCACCCATTTTGACTCCAGGTCCAAAAAAGCTTGGACAAACTCACTCACTGACAAACAGGTTCAGCCGAACTTTTTTTCAGCGAGCCGACCCACCAATGGGAATTTCCGGATGCAAAAGCATGCTATCGCATGCTTTTGATCCTCCAATTCTGGATAAACGATATTTTGAGAAAACCAGTGCGCGCTTGGTCGATTTCTCCATGGAAGGGTGTGGGGCGTGTAATTGTTGTTCCGGCCTATTACTTAGGTACAGCATGCCGGGACGTTTCGTTTCGGCATTAAAGGTAGTGTGCCAGCTTTCTTGGACCGTATGGAGTTAATGGCCCAGATAACGAGAACCAGATTTTTAGAACTTATCCATACCTTCAAAACTCATGGAAACGTCTTAAATTCTTCAAATTTTGAGTACCCCAGTGCGAAATTCGCCCCGACGGGTTGTCGGTCGTACCCCAACCACATTTCACACCACTATGAACAATAAATGCACACACTGAAATCGCTATTACCGATATGCTCATCCAATCAAGTTTCGATAAACCCGTTCATCATCATCTCCTGCGGTTTCGAACACGCCTGTTAGGTGGCTTCTGATGCTCGTCGAGGTCGGAATTTCCAAATACGTGTGGTGCGTCGGGCAGCGCGCTCTGACTTCGGCCAAGAAAAATGCGTCAGCTGATCATTGTCATTTCTGCCACGTCTTGCGTGTGGTGAAATGGGGTCATAACTTATAAGACGGCTTTTTCATATCAATTATTTTACATAAAATCATATTTCAAACCATAAATAATGTTCGACAGCCAAATAAAAGAAACAATACCAATACGGGCTTACAGTTTAAGGCTCGACATTGTGTTGTCTACGATTAGACAGCTGATAACTCATTCCCGTACGTCGTATGGTCGTAACACTATAATGACCTTTGCTTATTGTCACAAGTGCGCCGCATTCGCGATTGTTGCCCGACTCCTGTTTGCAGGTGAGCCCACTACAGTTGTTATACATATCTAAAAACCGAAAAACTTTTAGGCGAAAAAGGCACTATTCCAGGCCCATTTTTGATTTTTTTTTTGCGATTTTAGGTAAAAACAGAAGCTTCTTATCCTAGGAAAAATAAAATGGGAAATCTTTCAAAGGTGGCACACTACCTTTAAAGGGACCCTCCCGGCTCCCACCTTCAAAAAAGTTAATGAATTGGCATGAAAGTGATGTCCCTTGGTTCAGAAAGAGCGAAAACGAATATCTACCAAATTTCACCGAAAAATATTCACTGGTTTTCAAGATATTAGGCTTTTACTTTTGTTTACTTTTTGGGATCTCCCCTGTTACTAGCGACTTTATTTGGAAGCAATAATTTGGCAGCCTTAAAGTGCGGCAGACGTTGCGCGCAAAACAGCGTATACCACCACGTGTTAACGATGGTTTTAGTCTTAGATTTAAAAATCGTTAGATCTCCGCTGACGTCACAAATTCTAAGGGGGCATTCCAATGCATTAGCCCCTTAGAATCCGAAAACTGCAAGTTTGAAATTCCATATCTTCGAATTAAAGCATTTTTCGATGTTGTGAGTGCCCAAACCGGTATTTGCAGGCCATGGCCACCAATTTGGCTATCTCAACTCAAAACTAATGTTAAGGTGGGAGTGTCCCTTTAATTAATCGTTCTTTCGAAGACTGCACGGCGGCCAAGTTACCCCTGGCCGGTACCTGGATCATTTGGTGTGTATGTGTGTGTGTGGGGGGGGGGGGGTCATTTGGCCGGGCATGTGACTCAGAGAGATACCTACCCAGTACAGAGCTGAGCTAACCTGAAATATTGACGCCCAAGTTTGTGCTGAAAGGAAATAGTTCACTTTCCCGAAATTAGTTTTTTGCCATGGGTTTATGATTTTTATGCTGAAAATGATCAGCAAAGACAATAAAGCCTTTTCATAAGATTTTTTTCTTTATTTCAATAAAGGGAAAACTATATTCTATATAAAATATTGTTTGTCGCGGAAGCTTAGTACGCGCTGCCCAATCATATTGCGTAATACAAACTCATTGGCTGTAAGCAGCACGCTGATTGGCTGACGATGACGTGGCTGCATTCCTCAGCAAGGCACGCATTCCTCTGCAAGGCACTCTTTTGCCGTGCAGGGTGCCGCTTGCAGATCTCGAGAACGGATGGGTTGTTCGCCTCCAAATTTGGTACACCGTTAGTAACGGTTAGTAGGGTGCCGTGCACAAGCCAGTTGTAAGTACCTTTTCGCCCTTCCGCACGTGCAGGGCTCATTCTCGCTAGCTCGTTGTTCGCCCCCCCCCCCGCGCTAAAAAAGGCGTCTTACTGGTATACATATGACTGCTCATACTTCGTAAGTGTTCCATAAACTGACGATATGCTCCTTTTTCCCAGCTGAAATGTGCAGCTGCTCGTCGACTTGTCAGTAAGCCGCACTCAGCCATGCTGCGATCGTCGCGCCACCTATGGTCGGCCGGCCGGCGGCTGTGCCGGGCGGCCTCCTCCGCTGCCGACCCGCCGAGCGGCGCGGGCCCGCCAGCTGGCGAGTATGACGTGGTGGTGAGCGGCGGCGGTATGGTGGGTCTGGCAGCGGCCGCCGCCCTGCTCACCGACCCCGTTCTGCGCGACTACCGGGTCACTGTACTGGAGACGGCGACTCCGCCGGCCAACAAACCCCTACCTGACGAATTCAGCAACCGGGTGTGCGCCCTGAGCCCGGCCACGCGTCGTCTCCTGGAGCGAGTCGGCGCCTGGTCGCACGTGGAGCGTTTCAGTACCACACAGCACATGCAGATCTGGGAGACCTGCTCGGACGCTATGATTCGGTTTGAGAATCTTGAGGAGCCGGAGGATCTGGCCTACATCGTGGAGAATGATGTGATTTGTCGCGCGCTGCGCCGGGCTCTAGAGGACGCTGGTGGAGAGGTGGCCTACAGCTCTGCCGTATCTGAGATTCACCTGCCAACGGTCGGCGCCGCGCCGACTGATGATCAGGTACGGCTGCAGCTAGCTGACGGCCGCGAGCTGACCTGCGCTCTCCTGGTGGGCGCCGATGGCTTCAACTCGGCCGTCCGTCGTGCGATGGGAGTGCGCACCCTGGGCTGGGGCTACGGCCAGCGCGCCGTGGTGGCCACGCTGAAACTGGCGGACGGTGGCCCGGCCAACACCGTGGCCTGGCAGCGGTTCCTGCCGACCGGTCCGCTGGCGCTGCTGCCCCTCTCAGACACGCGCTCCTCGCTCGTCTGGAGCACCTCGGATGCTGATGCGCGCCGTCTGCTGTCATTTGCGGACGACGACTTTGTGGACGCCCTAAACGGAGCACTGTGGGCCGAACATGAAGCAGCGCCGGCCGTCCAGTGGGCGTGTGACGCGACGCGCGGCCTTCTCGGCTCGCTGGGTCTGCGCAGCCCATCTGGACCGGTACAGCTGCCTCCCAGTGTTACCGGGCTGGTGCCGAACAGCCGTGCTGCCTTCCCACTGGCCCTACAGCACGCAGAGAACTACGTGTCACGCCGCGCTGTGCTGGTCGGCGACGCGGCTCGACGCATCCACCCCTTGGCCGGGCAGGGAGCCAACCTGGGCTTTGGCGATGTATCTGAGCTGACAGAGGTGTTGTCTGCGGCTGCGGCGCGCGGGGGAGACCTCGGAGCGCCAGCACAGCTAGCGGAGTATGAGACGGCGCGTCAGAGGGCGAGTGCGGCGCTTCTGGCACTGACGGATGGCCTGCAGCGATTGTACGGGACGGAGCTGGCGCCTCTGGTACTTCTCAGGTCAGTGGGGCTGCAGGTGTGTGATGCTGTGCCCATAGTGCGACGACTGCTCATGGATAGGGCTAGAGCGTGAACTACCTGTGGGAGATAGTGTCGTCATTGGTGCAGGTGTACATAAGCCGGATGCGCGTTTGGTTTAGAGGACCTCCGACTGCCGTAGTATGCAGAGACCGTAGGTCGACTGCGTCGAACGAGTGTGCTGTGCGAGGTGGTTTGATATGTTCACTGTTCAGTGCTATTGTGAGCGGCAGTTGTACCGTAACGGTACCGATTGACGATTGGTTTGGTGATCAAGGGGTGATTGTAACGCGGCGAACTGTGACGTGACGGTCGGATGCCTCAATGGGAAGGCGTCAAGTGAGCTTCAGTTCAGTTTTTTTTTTTTGCTTTATTTAGTGGTGTGAATTAGGCTGTAGTGAGTCTTGATGGAAGATTACGTTTGATTGTGGGGCTATGAGGTGTTATCAGATAACTGGAAACAGACGGTGAGATTGGCAGAACTGGGACAAAATCGATGATCAGTAACGTTATTGTTCAACTATGGAATGCAATATGAATATCCCGATTCAGGTCAGCTATGACATTCAGATACCGAGTCTACGTTGCGTTCGTCTGTGCCATGCGCATACCTGAGTCGCCAGCAAATAAACGGAGATTTTCCAAGTGGCATATCATTAGCACTTGACACGGTAATGTCTCGGCTCGATAAGTGGTGTCGGGGGCGGCGGTCGGGGTGGGGTCGGGCTGGCATGATGTAGGGCGCACGACGCTCTCGATGGGCGCTGTAGCGGTCACGATCTCCGTCGGGCCCGACTCCCTGGCTCGAGCGGCGGCCGGCCGGCGGGCTGTCCTTGCCACCGCCAGTTGCGAAATGGCCCGGTCACGACAGGAGCTTGGTTTGCGGCTGCCGCATTGGAGAGCTCCCGAAAGGTAGTGCGGAAACACGGACTCTGCAGACTAGAGGACACAGTCTGTCGGTCGTCCCGTCAGCAATGGACACATTTGACAGTCGTGGAATATCGAGACTGCGTAGCGTGTCCTCGGGCCTGCCTAGCTCTCAGAGTCGCCCAGGAGTGTGGGCCGTGGGGGGAGGGGTAATTTGCCTAAACGGTGCGGCCACGCCCTGAGCCGAGCGGCCGACCCCGGGCCACCGCCGCCCGCCGGGAGGGCGACCGCGTCTCGTTAGTAGCCGCCGACCTCGGGCGCTGCCGGTAGGCAGCACCACCCATCAATCGCGGCCGCTCGGCCCTGTAGGTATCTGTCCCTCCTTCCCCGCTCTGTCTGACCTCTGTCCCGCTCTGTCTGACCTCTCCTCCACTGCCTGTCCTCTATCACCCTACAGATGATTACCGTCCCCCCCCCCCCTGCCGACGCCTTCCAGATCTCCGCCCACCCCGCAAACGTTCATTTGTTCTATGGTTAATTCGTCTCCAAGGTCACGCCAACATTTATTTACAGCTTTACCTTGCCGAGAACGGTAGCTGTGGCATTAAAACGGTACGAGGTCGCATCGAAAATACGGCGCCTGACTTTCGCGGCCGCGTTCCCTTTTCCTGAAGGCATTAGTCTCACTCGCCCGGGTCGGTATGATGGCTGGAAACGGTCGCGGTTTTTCAGGTTTCTGCAGTTAGGCAAGCACTAATCCTCAAAGTTCATCTGTCTTCACGTCTAACGGTCCGGGTGGACAGAGGAGAGCGCACCGGCGCACTATCCTCTGTTCATGCAGCGAGCTGTGAGGTTGATTCACCACAGACCTTCGTCACGACCAGTCGTGCAGAGAGCAGGCACTTTTGGACGGAGACGAATCACAAGGACTCGAGGAACATCTCTGCCTGGCGAATTGAATTGGGACACTTGTCCGCTCAAATCTACGCCGGAGCTGGACATTTAGTAGGTGCACAAGTACGTTACCTGCGTAACTACACAACAGGCAGGAAAACAAGGACAGCCGCATTCCGCAAGCGTCAGCGCTTCGCTCCGTCTGTTGTGGCGCTGTGGTCTTCTCTGGTCTCCAGCTGTGGCGGAATGTTTCCTATTGTTTTCATCTCGGTTCTGGTCGTCGCTTCACTGTGGGAGCCGCGCTTCGCAACAGTAGACTTATCTTGGCTTACGTTGAACGTGTGTGTCCGAATGTGTCGTGTCCATCCCAAGCCAATGAAAGTCTTACGCTGACTTCATACGAACATGGCCACTCTGACTGGCCTCGGCGTGCCAGCCGTGGTACAGAAACATTGGCCAACAGATCATCTCGATCTGGAGGGTCACGATTTGAGCGTACCGACTCTGTCCGTTTGTCAGCCTCCGTCGGCCGGCCGGCCGGTTGGTCGATCGGTCGGTGAGCCCGACTTCTTGCCGCAGTCGGCCGACCAGGTGAAAGCTGGCGCACTGTTTCTCTTCCTCTCCCGCTCTGTCGACGGGGCATCTGTGCAGGAAGGTCGTTACTCGATCAGACGGCGATACCGGCTCGTGCACTGACGGTGGGGGAGGCGCGGCCGGCGTCGGGAGTGCCGGGGCTCCTCCCTCCGTGAGATACCATCAGCTCGTGCTCAATTGGCCGTCGTGAGCGGTGCTTCGTCACGAGATTGGCATCGCCTCGCGGCTGATGAAGCATGTATTTGGCGACACGATTACGGGGCTATATGAAGACATTTGCTCAGAGCTGAAATAGAAATATTCATTTTAAAAGCATTTGAAAGCTAGCTTTGTGAAAGGGTAGCTAGTGGCAATGAACATGGAAATGAAAACGTGTGCTCCGGTGTGCTCATAGCAAACCTCTTTTGACCGCAGGCATAATAAAAACCGAACTACATATTCGGTGAATCGTTCAAAATTGTGCAAAAAGTTATTCATACCTATTCCTAGCCAGGCAGAATACGATTAAAACCAATACCAGCCAGACGTTATTGTGGGTCCGGGAGGAATAGTTGCATTTTTTTTTTGTATAGAAAAGTGGTTACTAAAAAACGTAAGATAATTATGAACGTAGCCACGGCTAACTCGTTCGTTATAGACGGCTGACGGTTTGGCGCTCACTCCTTCCGGCGCGGTTGACTTCCGTGCAGCCACGGTTTCGGTGGTTCGGTGGCTCAACCGTGTCAACCAACCACACCACACCGTTTATCTGCAGTAAGTCGCTTTTCCTGTCTGCGGTCCGGACTGTTTTATCAATCGTCGAAGCGCCTGTTGTCTGAGGTCGCGGACAAGCTTGCCATTGGAAGAGCGAGCACAGTCACTAACCGCTCAGCGCTGCAGCTTTCCTCTGCTCTCTCCACTGGCAAACAAAACATGCAGTTAACCCTAGAACGCCTAGGGGGGGGGGGTTGTATCAACCCCCCCCCCTGAGGTTTTTTCGAAGTGCACGCTAAACGGCTTGTCGTAGCGGGCTGAAATTTTCAATACCCTCTGGGGCAACCTTTGCGCATCTTTTGCCGAAAAAAAATTGATCGGGTCATGTCAGGTCACGGAGTTATGACGTCATAAGAGGTACAGCCTCCGGCCGGATTTTCACAAACTGAGTGCCAACGCCCGAGGTTTCCTGCCGGTGGTACGGACATCGGTTGATGGATCGTGATGAAAGTTCCCATGCATGTTGGGGCAAGTATTGGCTATCATATGGTATAAGAAATTTGACCGGGTCAGGTCAGGTCACGGAGCTATGACGTCACAAGAGGAACAGCGTCCGGTACTATTTTTTAAAAGCGCCCGAACCACTATTTTGCTAATTCTTGTCACCTCAACGGGAATATGCAGCAATATTAGCTTCTATAGGGAGCAAATGGACCTCCCAAATCCAAAAATACAATCAGATTTCAAAAATTTAAATTTTGATTTTTCGAATTTCTGCCGCCGACTGTGACCTTGCCGCCTTCCGGCGCTCCCAACGCGCCATTTTTAGAGCTAGGGAAACGAAATACATACCAAACGATAGAGAATTGATCAAGGAACACGATAGTGAAGGTTTCAAGTCGATATCTCCCACCGTTTTGCCGCAATCGCCGCCGAAAGTTGAAAAAAGTCTATTTTTCCGAAAATTTGACCTTTGACCGGTCAAAAGTAGGTCAAATGTTGACCTAGGACCAAAAAATATACCACCAATCGCGAGATCTCGTTGAGAGCAATCCGTTGGTTTTTTCCGCTAAGCTCTACGACCTTCCGTTTCGAAACGCCAGGGGGGGGTCGTAACAACCCCCCCCCCCCTGGTCGTTCGTGTTATGAGAAATGGCCTGGTCGTGCGAGGGTTAAAACTGCTATGCTAACCGCCTAACCGGTCATTTTCGCCTCGTCCTTGAGTGCGAGTGTATCTCGGTATGGTCTGTCTTCCGCGGGTAGCGCTGTCTTGGGGAGGGAGGATCGGCCCCACCCGGCCCCGCCTATAGAGTGGCGCCACCAAAACGCGCAGTTACGTCACAGACATCGTCTCTGCGCAGAGCAGCCACGCCCAGCACGGACGGCTGGGTCAGGTCACGGCGGTATGGCACCGACCAGAACGGAAGGAGTGGTTTAAATTATTGGACATTCGCAGCCTTGGTCAACGGTCATGTAATGGTGAAATAAGTGGTTATGGTCAGAACTAGATTTGATTATGCTACGTCGGGAGCGCTTCAATACCCAGGTCAAAATTTGAAACAGGTCAAGAATGGTTCGACGAAGGTCAGAACTCACTAGGTATCAGACCAAAGCATCCGCAAGTAACGGCTTACTAATTCAGCTTTGGAGCAATATTTAGGTTACAGGTATTCCTATCAATAAAATTATAGAAAAAAAAGTTTAGGAACAGCCGAGTATTGCGGCTTGCAAATGAACGGTCTGATACGAGATACCCGGTTGTATTAATGAGAGGACTGGGAAAGATGGGAATCGGATAGCACCTTTGCAAATACCCTTGTGAATTGTAGAAGCGAAGCATAATAATGTTTTCTCTCCATACGTATATCAAACCAGTGGCCGCACCTCGAGACAGGACGTGCCCGGTCGACCTTGCGCAGCGCTCAGCTGCACGTGGAGCCTCCCATTTTTCTAGTCAGCTCTAAAAACATCGTAAATCGACTGGGTCGGCTGGGCGCGTCTGCGGCTGGCAGCGATTGACCGGTCGGCCCGGTACGCGCCGCAGCGCCTGCGTTACTCAACATCGGCGCGGCGCGTCCGAACGGCACTAAATTCCGTTTTATTGATCTCAGTCGTGGGCCATGGGGCCACAAACAGACGCGCATACCGTCGACGCCAGGTCAGGGCCCCACGAGCTGGCGGTGGGGGCCAGGAGAGTGTCACTGAGGGAGAGGGGTTATGGTTGCGGTAGGTGAAATGACGTGGATGACAGCGGGAATGATTTTGCGCCAGGTGAAGTAATGAAGCCGCCAGGTGGGATGATCGATTTGGATTAGATTTCGTCTATGAAGCCCTTCTCTTCATTGCCTCTCTCTCTCTCTCTCTCTCTCTCTCTCTCTCTCTCTCTCTCTCTCTCTCTCTCTCTCTCTCTCTCTCTCTCTCTCTCTCTCTCTCTCTCTCTCTCTCTCTCTCCCTCCCTCTCCCTCTCTCCCTCTCTCCCTCTCTCTCTCTCTCTCCCTCTCTCCTCTCTCTCTCTCTCTCTCCCTCTCTCTCTCTCTTTCCAATTCTGTCTTATCCCTGTTCGCCATCTCTAGTGCTACCCCTACCCCTAGGCCTGTGACCATCGGCAGCCGGCTTATCATTCTTCCGTCCTGTCTCCCTTCCTTCATCCTCTATCGGCGTGCACTTACGTTTGATCTCTGTCTCAGTCACACCCTGCATTAGCCTGCTCACCGTCCGACGGTCATTATTTCCCCAAGGTCAGCCGGAACTGACCCCCAGGGGTCGAGGCCGGGGGCACCGGAGTCGGACCTGACCTGCGCGCGCAGGGCTCCAGCCGCGCGGCGCGGAGCTTAGCTGGGGAGTGGGCCAGTGTGCCGAGTGCCGGCCTGTCGAGGGGACCGTTGGGCGACGCGCTGAGAGCAGCGCAGTGTCGGGATAGTGGTGGACGGAGTATGGAGGTGTGGATTGCACTCAGGCAGGACAGGAGATTGGACTAACTCACAGCGAAGGTCAGTGTAAAGGCCGTCAGCGAGTCTTTTGTAGGTGGCTTGGCTGCCACAGTAATTTACTTCGAGACATTTGAGTTTTTATATCAGCATGTAAGAAGTCTAGACGAAATCGAATAATAGTTGATCTGTACCTACTATTGACGAGCTTAAACAAGATAAATTTACTCAATATAAAACAAATATCAACAAAATAAAACTCAAAAATGAAACAAATCGATCCACAATAATAAATTTACTTTTTATATATTTTGTTCCATTGTTTGATTTTTATTGGTGTACTCAAGGCCGTAAATAGGTGTACCGATGTAGATTTACAAAAAAAAAAAACGCTTATAATGATATGGAGAGTGCCAACTGCCAAGCATAGAACCAATATCCCACGCTGGGCCCGGGGTAGGGGTGTCTGAACATCCCCCCGAACTCGGCTCCTGCGGGCACATAGCGAACGCGCGGTAAGCGGCATTCGAAAGAGCGGCGAAAATTGTGAAGAAAATACCTGTCACTTTTTAGGTCAGGGCAAAGGTCAGGTACCGGAGGTCATCAAAGGCAGTTATTGAGTACTATAAAGGCTTTGTCGATTTCAACATCGCAAAACTCAGAAACTAAAAAAGCTGCAGCGCCGCAGGAAAGCACATTCGAAAACTCTTTCAACCTTCTTTCGATGATACGCCTCAGATTTGATCTGCAATGGTTTAGCCTCCAGAGGGTAAAGTCTCTAAAGAAACCACTTCCAAGAAAAATGTTTCGGTAATGAATTATTGACTGAAGAAGACGCGATACTTTCTCCCAGAATTGTGTTCCCCTTGTCGAGACGCGTCAAATGAACTATAATTTGACCCTAAAAAGGTACTTTTGAAAATTTGACCTCGGGTCATGATCATTACCTGACCGGAAAATGTCAAATTGCATATGAGCCGATCCGTATCGTCAACCTGAGCACATATATAAATGTTTTCATTGCTTCAGCTTGTTTCTATCAAAATTTATTGCCAAAAAGCTGCTGGGGACCTTTCATGACCCGAGATGACTTCAGGGACATAGTTAGGGGTCACGGGTGCAATTCTGCGATTCAGTGTGTCAATTTAACCTAAAACCTGATGTTTGAGGACGGAGGACGCTAGGACGCTCGTCCAAAAGAGGTGCTTTTCAATCTTCTCCCATTGACTAATAATTGAAAGGGCGCAAAATTGACCTGACCTTAGGTTACCAATGCCCAAAATTCCGAGACATACATTGTGTACATACTGTTACTCTTATCAATCGCTGAAACTTTCAAGGAGATGCTCAGTCAGTGTAGCTATGACGAGCATTCAAACTTATTTTTAGATGAGGTCACTTGACGTGACCTGGTGACTTGACCTTGAGCGACCTGGGTCTGAAATTTTCATATGTGCGGAAAAGATGCATGAACAGGTGTACACAAAACGGTGGCGCTCTGCACCGCCGTGTTTTTCATGGATATCTGCGAAAAAAAACACGGGATGGCCGAACACCCCCGGCCCGGCGCAGGATATGATGAAGAGACTGCAACAGCGCACACAACAGTAACCCTCGCTACTGGAGGCTGCACTGCACTGCACGCACTGCAGTGACTGCAATACTGCACATCGAACGCTCTCGTTATTGGGTACTTTTATGGTGACTTCAACAGCGCACATAACAGTAGCTCTCGAGTCTCGTTATTGACCCTCGCCCGCACATGGGGGGGGTGGTTGCCACCCCCCCCCCCCCCCAGGTAGTCTTTCTGCTCTGCACTCAACATTTTTAGAGCTAGAAAGCTGATTTTTCGTATAGCTGCTTGTCTATCCTTTCTTGATGTTCGCTGAAAATTTCAAGTTTCTGTGATTTTTGGTTTCGGAGATATGACCTTGTTTTTCAGGTCATGTCATGACCCAAATGGCCAATCCTCAACATCTTGCGTTTGCCATGGGCCTTGTGAGCTTTTGACACCCTGATTTCGGCCTTTTTTGCCAGTCTTACCTCCCACCTATCATGGAACATGTTGTTCGACGATGTACAGGGGTCAGGGTCAGGGTCAAGGTCAACCTAGGTCATCTAAGATAATTGCGTTTTAGGCAAGCTGAATTTACTTTTTGTGAAGTTTTTTTATTGCATTTTTGTAAAAGCTTCTCAGATCATGATTTCATGTAATATGGACCCAAAAACAATCGGTGCACACATCAGTATACCTACACACAGACACACACAGACATACAAACACATATAATTGACCTTGACCTAACTTGACCTGAACTGACCTCAGCAGCAAAATTCTGGTCGGGTAGTGTGACAAAGAGGTTCTAGCTGGCTTGGCACCAGAAAACAGCATCGTCATCGGTATTTGATAAGCAGCGCACTTGATATCCAGCGGTGACCCAAAACAGCAACATTTTGTAGTTTGACCTGACCTGGAAGGTCAATGACTGACCTGAGAAGGTAAAACTGGGTATCATTAGATTTGTCTCTTCCCAAAGAATCTTTTTGGTCTTTACCGCTAAGCTCTATCTCCAACAGGAACGAAATGGCGCGGGGGGGTGGCAACCACCCCCCCCCCCCCATGTGCGTTCTAGGATGGGAAAATGGCATGTGCGGGCGAGGGTTGAAGACTGCGCCAGTGACTTCAATAACGCACACAACACTAACCCACGATACAATAGAAAAAACAATGTTTATGAAAAGTGTTTGTCTATTTCAAACAACCTGCGGTTATTGGAGACTACACCGGTGACTTAAACGGCGCACACTGCACTAGCTCTCGCTATTGGAGACTAGGAACTTCCATAGCGCACAGAACAGCAGCTCTCGTTATTGGAGACTGCACCAGGGACTTCAAAAAGCGCACGCCGCACACGACAATAGCTCAAGTTATTAGACTGTATTAGGAACTTCATTAGCACATAGAAGAGTATCTCTTGTTGTTGGAGGCTGCACCAGGGACTTCAATAGCGCATGGAACAGTAGCTCTCATTATTGAAGACTGCACCATGGACTTCAATAACGCACAGAACAGTAGCTATCGTTACTGGAGATTGCACAAGGGACTTCAATAGCGCACGCAACAGTAGCCTCTTAGAAGCATTTGACTCAGTGGTCTTTAGCACATTACACAGCGCTAACTCAAATCGTTTGAGACTCAGACACTCTTTGCATTTTCCACGGGTATGTGGTGCATAAATAACTGCAATACAACTAATGTCTATAGACATCAAAACGAAATAAAATAGCACACACCGGATATTACTTAACGCTAATCAGCGTTGTTTTATCTTTAATTTAAGATGCATTGGATCGGGCGTCAGAGGTTGCAATGAAGTGCTTTGGAGTAACACGTGAACAGTCGCATGCTTGAGAGGATGGAATTCTCCCTCTCATACCTTTTCACAGTTGATTGGACAGAACGGTGACGGCAGAAGTGTATTTTTGTGTTCATCTCCTAATTTTATGAACAAATGTCAATTGCATGCAATCCACAGAAAGAGAAATATGTATCAGAAGGCAAGGAAAGGGGCTGACAATACACAACTGCAACGGTATGCACTATCCACCATGGATATTGGATACTTCACTCGGATGGATATGCGGGTAGCGCACAGCACAGATGCACCAAGGTGTGGGAGCTGGCCACCCTTTGACAAGGCATCGATAAATTGGTATAAATAATCGAAGCACGCAAATGCATTATGCACTTCGTTATTCGATCATCTAGACCCGGTTTAGTTTGATTTTATTCTAAATATTCACGTAACGCTGCACCTATTTCATGTGTCTCGATACCTAATGTTCTCATACCACAATCTTGTGATCAACTATATGGTCCGCAAAGCTGTCGAACATCGATTGAAGGTTCCTTCATATAATTAGAACTCATTCTGGAAAACGGAATGTTGCCTTAACAAATTTAAATTACAATGGCCAGTAATAATTGCAATAATTAAGCGTTCGATGGACAGTAGGTTTCAAAACACTTCGTGTTCATAAATAGAGTTAAATTATGCTCTTCTGCACAAGCCCTGTTTAGGCGACGGCGGCGGCGGCGGCGGCAATACGCTAGCGGCAGCTATGCGCATTAAATCGGAATTAATATTAAATTAATTCTTATATTGAGCTAGGCAAAACACATATTGTTTGATCAGTTCCGCCAGCAAAACTGGGCCAAGACCCAGCCGCTATTTCTTTATTTAAACATTCTCGTGAATGACATCATAATGAGACCTCACTCTCGGAGGTACCGATTTTAGCAATCGGCCGAACATCCTCCCTCCCCGTGGAGCAACGTATGCTCCACCTAGCTATCACACAGTCACAGTCACCTTCACATCACACTCTAAGATCACACACTAGTCATTACTCCGCCGTAGGGGGCAGAGGCGCATGATGAGGCGGGCGTAAGTGCGGTAACGATTCTGACCTCCACAGTCCGCACATGTCCATCGCGGCCGGGATGGGTCCTCTCCACCCGTGCCCGAGGTAAGTGTCCGCGGGGCTCGTGGTGTCCAGCACCAGCACCACGTTACCATCTTTGAAATCTGGCCTTACGTCGTACCGCTTGTGCAGTATGTTGAGATTGGAGGAGCATCTCTCGCAGAAATCTCTTCCATGTCTTGCTGAAAACTCTCTGAGTGTGGCGCCATCTCCGTCTTGGAAAAGCAGCTTCTTTTCCTGTAGCTGAGAAGCCAAGGCACTGTCTATTTGACCGACCAGAAGGTGATTTGGTGCCAGGGAACTGTCGACCCTCGGATCGGAGCTCGGATACGTAAGCGGAGGCGAGTTCAGAAGGCTTTCGATCTCTGCTAGGACAGGCCGGTCCGCCTTCTGCAATCTTCCTCCCATGGTCATGACACCAGACTCTGACATGAGTGGCAGCAGCTCACTTAGTTTGCTGTAATTGTGGAGATCTCGTTTTGCTGCAAGGGACGTCTTTGCCTCGCCGAAGTCTTCTTTTCGTGCGTGCTTTAGCCGGAGTTTCTGTGCCTTCTCAAGTTCCAGAGCCGTCAGTTGTCCTTTCAAGCGGTTGGCTTTTGCAGTGCGGCAGTTCCGCGCGAATCTTTGGACCCAAGCGGTGACGGCTGTCGGGTGACACCAGCTCGAGGAGGCGCCTGGCTGGAAGAGGGGCTCGGCAGACTTCGCTGAGGACGACATAACCACCTTCTTCTCTTCTTTCTTGGCGTCTTCGGAGGCAGAAAAGACTGGTGTTTTGAGCCAGCCCTCCGATGGCCGATGCAGAGAAGCTGGGCCGTTTATCCAGCGATTTTCAGCTTTCATTCCTCTGACGCTGAGGCCACTTGAGCAGTCGTCTTCACCAGCAGGATTCTTCAGTCCCGAAACATGTCTGGACTGACTTGAACATGTCTTCGAGTTAAGGCTGCTACTGTTGAGTTGGGCAGCAGAATTCGTTACGATGCTTACGATGACGATCGTTAGGATCGTTATGATCGTTTCAATGTTCGTCTGCCTGACTCCTCTCACGACGGGGAAATGAGGCCAGGCGGGTCCATTGCAATCGTTCTCCTTTCCTTCCACCAACCTCTCATAACCTTTCCCCAAACTTTCTCTCTTTTTCTCTTTATACTTCTTGATCATGTTCGGTTTACTCTCGGGACTTTTCTCCAGCGAGCCGATACGAGCGAGCGCCGCTTTTCTGTTGTCCGGCAGAGTGGGTCCATCTCCTTTCCACGGTATGCCGATTTTGTACCGGTACCCATCAAAACGAAGCGGCTGGTCCGCTTTCTTGTCAGCGGTTTGCTCTTCTGGTGACAGGATCTTGTTTCGCTCTGTTTCGTTCCCACTCACTGTAGCATCGTCTACTTCCAAAAAGCTTCTCAGCATAATTTCAGGGCTTTCTTCTACTGCTGAGGCGCGGGCTGTTACACGGTTCATAACGTCAGCTGACCCGACCGGGCCAACACAGACCCAGCCCAGAGGCGTTAGCTCTGCGACTGGCGACTGAGAAGGCCCGCTTCGCCTCTCGAGTACGTGGTGCAGCTCGGGGTAATCACTGCCGATGAGTAACTCGACAACATTCGGGATGGGCGGCTCCATGAATGGAATCTGGCTGAGGTGAGTCCATCTTCTTTTTTCGTTCGCCCAGTTCGTCACCTTCATCCCGCCACACACAACTGGAATAGTCCAGGCCTGGACCACTCCGACGAAATCGTCCTGTCCTGCGGGTCCTAGCTCTAGCCCTACTTCAGTAGTGCTCTGCTGCATCACATTTCCTCCCAGAGTTGTAATGTTGATGCTCCTTGGGTCCCACTGCGCTCCTAAGTCTCGAGCAACGTCTTCAGAAAGGTAAGTGGTGTCTGAGCCACCGTCAAGGAAGGCGTTCACCACCACTTCTTTACCATGGTGCTTTATCCGTACCGGTAAGGTCCGCAGTGCTACGGCGTTAAAAGTACCCCCCTGTATGCCGCCCAGTGTGCCGGCTGCCATTCGAGATGGTGTCGTGGCGTCACCGATCTGCCGTTCGTCACAGAGGAGCGGGTGATGCGGCCTTCCGCACCCACAGCGGCGGCTTTGACGGCAGTCAGCGGAACGATGACTTCTTTTTAGACACGAGAAGCAAAGTTTGCTCTCTTTAGCAATGCTCCAGCGTCCTTCCATATCTTGATCCAGGAAGACCTTGCACTTCTCCAGCTGATGATCTCCATTCTTGCATATGCTGCAACTAGCGCTTATTTTGACGGCGAACGTGCGTTTCCGAGGGCTCTGATTGGTTCGTCCGACCGCTTCATCACTCCGTCGGCTGTCGGCTGTCGGCTGTGACTTCCTGTAAGTCTCGCTTAGCAGACTGGCTTCGGCCCGGCGCTGCAACCACGGCTCCAGTGTCACCAGATTACAGGCCTGTTCGGAGGAGACACACATCTCGAAGAATGCATCTCGGTCTTTGGAAGACAGCTTAGCCACTACTTCTCTGAGAAGGGTATCGGAATAAATGTTGCTTGTATCCCCGATGTTGCGTAATTTGTTCAAGGATGATGTAACCGCATCTGCAAACTCTCTAAGGCCGTGTGCCGATCCACTGCTGGACAGGCCTTGCAGTGCTCGGAGGCGCTTGAGGCTGTCTTGGATCAGGCGATCTCTGCCGCCGAAGCGCCGCTCCAAAATCAAGAGGGCCGAGACATAGTCTGCCTCGGAGAAGGCCAGACCACCGATGGCGTTTAGAGCAGCGCCACGGAGCTTGTCTTTTAGACGGAGCATCTTCTCCATTGCCGACATGTTCGGGTTATTGGCTACCAAGACTTTAAATGCGGCGATAAATTCAGGGTATGCGCAAGGATCTCCATCAAAAGGTAGCATCTTAACGGGCTCGAGATTGGGAAGGACAACAGAAGGCTGCGAACTTTTCAGATAGTTTTGAGCCCGCCCTAAACTGGACCTCTCCAGTGCCTCTAACTGAGCCCACGATTCGAGCTCCGTCTCCAGTGTCTCTTCACTCACCTCCGCTAAGAGCTTTTCATAGCTCTCTGTCAGTGTGGCTTTCTTTTGCTTCACGCTGTCTAAGTAGACTTTTACTTCTTCCCTGCTCTTTTCTTCTATGATCAGAGCGTCTAGTTCTGTTAAACTTCTAGTTAACATTGCTTTCTTGGCTCTTACTTGCTTTTGCAACCTGGCTTCCATGGTGCTATTTCGTTCTTGGCTGGTCTTATCGAGATCCGGCCCGGAGGACCATTTGTTTAGGCGACGGCGGCGGCGGCGGCGGCAATACGCTAGCGGCAGCTATGCGCATTAAATCGGAATTAATATTAAATTAATTCTTATATTGAGCTAGGCAAAACACATATTGTTTGATCAGTTCCGCCAGCAAAACTGGGCCAAGACCCAGCCGCTATTTCTTTATTTAAACATTCTCGTGAATGACATCATAATGAGACCCCACTCTCGGAGGTACCGATTTTAGCAATCGGCCGAACAAGCCCTGTTCTTTTAATAGCTAGGGATAATGGCGTGGAGAAAACCGCTCGCGTATCTTTCAGAAGATCAAGTAGTTGATTACGGAGCGAGCGAAGCGAGCGTAGTCTTTCCTTAGATTAACGGAAATTTCTGAGTATGAGCGGCCGGCCGTGCGGACGCTTTTGCGAGGCTTATATCTCAGCAACCACTTGACCGATTTACACGCGGTAATTTTTGTACGGTAGCTTCATTCCTTCTACCAAGTATTGGACTATTCCCGATGCATATAGGTGACCCCTTATGCACGTGCCACGTGCAAAACGAAGAGGTGTCAGTTTTGTAATTGTTGCAATATCTTGGTAACTACTTGGCCGATTGCGCTGAAAGTTGGCATGTAGGTAGGCCCCCACTAGGCACTGCATATCCATGTGCCAGAGTTGGGGTGCTGCTGCACGTGCGCACGTGCAGGGGTCGTTTCCAGATCTCGAGAACGGCTGGACCGATGGCGCTCAAATTTGGTACACGGTGAGGGACCGGTTAGTAAGGTGCCGTGCACACGTCAGTTGGGACCCATTTTGCACGTGCGCACGTGCAGGGTGCCGCTTCCAGATCTCGAGAACGGCTGGGCCGATTGTGCTCAAATTTGGCACATCGCTAGAGACCGGTTAGTAGGGTGCCGTGCACAAGTCAGTTGGAGGTACCCCCTCGAAATTTCGCACGTGCAAGGCTCACCCTCTCGCTCGCTCCGTTACTCGCCCCAAAAGGCGTTATACTGGTCGGTAAAGGGCTATCCTTGACAGCTTCCTTCGTCGTCATTGTTAACGGTCCAAAAGCTTATGGACGCCGCACAAAAGCTCCACTGCTATTGGGTCACGTCTCTCCGATCGATCAGACCTATATTTATAGGCGTCTGACATTGAGCCGAGCGGTTCTTTGAAGATCCAGATAATTGCTACTTTCGCAAAATTTATCGTCAGCATTTGGGGTCCCATTCTTTGCTGCACGACTTTTGTACCGTAGGCGACCGATTGCTTTTGCGATGAAAGAAAGCAAACGGCAAAAGTGCTGGAAGACGCATTCTGCTTGCCTGCAAGAACGTGACAGAAGTTATTGCACACTTGGAGATTGTGGCTATGCCACCACTTCTGGCAGTGTTATTGCTCACATTACTTATGAATAACTTCTGTGTGAACCTCAAGAGAAAGACCATTCAGCACCGCAGAAAGAGGCTCGTTCGTGCTGCGGCGAATTCAAGCTGTTTCCGACGGTGCAGACTATTCTCATGCTAGAGGTGACGGTCCGTTTTGGCTTAGCTGACCTTCTCCGATGTTCTCTCTACCCCAACGTCACCATCTCCTTCCGTGGTTCGATCTCAGTGCGTCCGTCCGTGTCGACTGTCCATCCCCTTAGCGTCGGTCCGCGGTTCGACGGTGGCGAGCTCTCCATTGAGCGGCGGTGTCATACTGTCCGTGTCCGTAGCGTCGGTCTGTGGACCGTGGTGTCCGACGCTGGCGACCCGCGGACCGACGGTGGCGAACTCTCCATTTAGCGGCGGTGTTTATTGCCGGCGCGCACGGCGCACTCGGTGGGCGGCCTATTCATCATCTGCGGCCGCCGCGGGGCGCCCGCCGGCCGGCGAAAGGCGTGGCACACCCACGTCCCGCCTAACCAAGGTCGCCCCCGCTCTCCCCGATTTCCGCCAGGATAATGTGACGCCGCACGCAACATGACCTTGACTTTTGTCCCGATCGTGGCCGATATCGCGACTCAGTGTGTGAGCCACCGCGGATCGGAATATTTTGAGCGTAATGAGGGATCCCGAGGGTAGTCCGGAGGGTGCTGCGATTTCTGGACAGACGTTCGTTGCCGGTTTCTCTGAGGAACTTATGAAACTCTCTGATAATTAGATACGTCCGGAAGGCTTGGGGCTTGATAGTGAACCCTTGCGCTCATTAAAAAAGATAATTCATATGACAACTTTGGAATCGAGTTGATTTTAGTTCACGTCTTAGGGTCGTTATATAAAGTCATATACCTGATTTATCTATCAGCATACCTATGTCACGAGCGAATAAAACCACGCATTACGGGGGTTTTCTTTCGCCCACACCTATACGATACCTTTCAAAATTCCCATATGAGGATTTCAGTTGAGATGACATATGAAGAGAAGATCTTCTGGATTTCTATAGCATTCGAGTATAAATAAAACATGCTTGTTACCTTGCATTTATGCAATTATGCATGCAAATATTTTTGAGATTTCTGCAGATATGTTTCCGTTTATCGTTTACACGCCACAAACTCGAATGCAATCGTCACGCCATATAGGCTGAAGTCATCCACGAACTGCAGTTTGACATTGGTGGTAGAGCGGAAGTGATATGCTCAAAGGTTGTAGTAAAAATGTCAGTCACTCGACCAGTTCCGTGTCCCATGGTTTAAGGCCGAATTAGTCTATTTACGACCTATCGTACGATAATTTCTGGTAGAAAAGAAAACTAGGTAATTCCTAATACTTGGTGCATCGTAAGCCATTGAGATATTGGTGATGTGCCTGCGTTTATTCATCAGCTGGTCGTCTGGCACTGACAGGTATATACCATTACTGCCAACACTGCAGGGGGATTACACGTCATCATCCGTTTACAGGCATTTCTGACTCACGGTTATATTATCCTGTGCTCCATTGTGCTGCATCGGTTATTTTGACCAAAATGTCAAAATGTGATTAATGTGCCATGCAAACAGCATGTATATTATTTCAATAGTGCCCACTGCAAATGCTGTTCCCCTTCCGCTCGACATTTGGTGTGGGAAAAGTTAGCCGCGTCGTAGGGTCAGCAAGGTGCGCTCATGCTGGGGGTTATATCTGAATCAGTGCCACATGGCCAAGCTGACGGTCACTTCCATTTTCCCACCGCACCGCCCGCTGTAATATGTCAAGGTAGTGCGAGTTTTGCATGAATAAACTGCCCCAAACCACGTGACATGCATCATCCGGTGCCGTCGTCATCAGCGTTGTTCGTGGGAACGGGTACCGCTGACGAACTCATCAAGGTCGCACACATACTCGGCTTTGAGTAATGACGACAATGAAATGACAGTGCTGTGAAGCCACTGTCCCTTTCGGTATAATACCAAAGGCATAGAAATTTTGATATAAGGCTTTTCTTTCGCTTTCTACAGACTACAGTCCTCTTCAAATAAGCAAAAGTGGCGTTTCGCTCACGGCCTGTTGGTTGCCTCACGGCTATCTCGGTCATGCTATTTGGCCCGTGCCTTTCTGCTGCCGCGTCTCTGTGCTGCCACTCCATTATAACTGCCGGCCCGGCCGGGACATTTCGTTATTGGCGTCGCCCCTGAGCCGCTCTGGCTGCGTCGCTCCATGACCGATGGACCCACGGTGAACGGGAGCGCGTCCCGAGCGACCGACAGCCCATTGTGTCGGCGTCACAGAGCGGCCCGATGCGTCTTCCCCGGTTGACGGAGCCGGCGGCGGGGCTGCCCGGCGTGACACCAGGCTGAGCGCCGGCTTCCAGCCTCTGTCAGGTGCCCCTGCCCGGCCGGCCAGTGGACGTATTAACACGGCCGCCGAAAGTAAAAGTGAGGCGCGCGCGGGGCTAGGTGCGTGACCTGGATCTGCTGCCTGCGTACTCCGTCAATGACGCCCGAGTTATGGCTCGTTTACATACGACATGGAAATGAGCCCTGTTTAGTGAGCTGTTTCAAGGTAAGCGCGCGCTTTTAAATCGATAATCATGTCAAGTGTGGTGTCGTATCGTACTTCAGTGCTCTAATCTGGTTTTGACGATGGATGGATATTCGCTCAGTTATTGATTACTTCAAAAGGCATGTACCTTTTATAGAATGCCTTTTTAGGGCATGTGCCTGCACTCTGTATGTAGAGCCATGCCTACCTTTACGTTATAATCAGTTAGGCATCTGTCATGGATACATTTGGCCTAGTGTACATATATCCCTACTCCTATCAATAAATCGATATGAAATCCATATTACCAAAAAATGGACCCCAGTCACTGGGTGACTAAGATTGCGCATTTATTAGTTGGCACTCGCCTGCTTTGTAGAGCTTCACAAAAGGAAATCACATTGCAGTCTGTCACTCAACGCTAGACAGTAAACTATGACATTAGCTATATGAGTTCTGTCATATTTATCCGACTTTAGCGCTGGAACTGGGTCTCTCGGTATAGACTGGTATACCAGTCTCATATCTGGGACGGGCCGGCTCGTTGTGAGCGTGTATAATAGGGTCAGGACCGCGGCGACCACACCATGTGTATTCATTGGCTCATTTGCAATCCAAAGGAATGGATTTGGCTGCGATCGCACGATACGGCCTAGTTGCGTTGGGAAATCGAACTTTGAAGGGTCTATGAAGTAGGGAATGAATTATTACCATCAAATCCCAGATCAATTATTGCTATCGTGTAATATAGGTACACATCCTACTGGCAAACCTGTGTTCGGTTGTGGTCTTCGAGTATACTGATACATGAACCACAGACATCACACCAAAATATCATGTCAGGGTCACCTTCCATTTTCATTCAAATTTGAACTCTGAGATTATATGCTTCCAACAGCACTCACATTTACATTTGAAGCCTTGACGATTGCGCTTAAATGACACCTTGAATCATATCAGCACCAATCTACCATTCATATTCCTCCCTGTCGCTGGCCGGGCTGGGTTATAAGTGTGGTCTGAGTACCTCTCGTCGGCGCCGGTTCGGACCGAGTCTGTCCTTTCCCCGGTCCGCCACGGCGGGGCGGCCGAGCCACGGACGATAGCTCGGCGGGGGAGCCGCCCTATCGGTGTCAATCAGATGAGCTAATAGCGGGCTCACTGATGGCTCTCCAGTCCATCAGTCACGCTCCAGAACCTATTACGGTATGGCCGACCTCCCCTTCCCCTCCTTCACAATCACTATCCATGTAAGCCCTATCTACGGTCCTACACTCTAGGTATCCTATGAATTGCGTTGTCAGTTGACTGATTCGATTTGTGTAATAATCGTATCCATTTATAGTCAACAGCCTGAACTCCTTTAATTTTATCTTTTGATTCTCTTCTTGTCCCTGGACTCTGTCTGTCCCTGTCTCTATCACTGTGGCTGCTATGTCTCTGCCCCCGTCCTTGTCCCTGTCCCTGTCCCTGTCCCTGTCCCTGTCCCTGTCCCTGTCCCTGTCCCTGTCCCTGTCCCTGTCCCTGTCCCTGTTCCTGTCCTTGTCCCTGTCCCTGTCCCTGTCCCTGTCCCTGTCCCTGTCCCTGTCCCTGTTCCTGTCCCTGTCCCTGTCCCTGTCCCTGTCCCTGTCCCTGTCCCTGTCCCTGTCCCTTGTTGTTATCCCTATCCCTGTCCCTGTCCCTATCCCTGTCCCTTATTGTTATCCCTGTCCCTGTCCCTGTCCCTGTCCTTGTCCCTGTCCCTGTCCCTGTCCCTGTCCCTGTCCCTGTCCCTGTCCCTGTCCCTGTCCCTGTCCCTGTCCCTGTCCTTGTCCCTGTCCCTGTCCCTGTCCTTGTCCCTGTCCCTGTCCCTGTCCCTGTCCCTGTCCCTCTCCCTTATTGTTATCCCTATCCCTGTCCCTGTCCCTATCCCTGTCCCTTATTGTTATCCCTGTCCCTGCCCCTGTCCCTGTCCTTGTCCCTGTCCCTGTCCCTGTCCCTGTCCCTGTCCCTGTCCCTGTCCCTGTCCCTGTCCCTGTCCCTGTCCCTGTCCCTGTCCCAATCCCTCTCCCTGTCCCTGTCCTCCCCTCCACCTCTCTCCCTCTCCCTCTCCCTCTCCCTCTCCTCCCCCTCTCTGTCATTGCTGCCACCCATCCTGTGACATCCTCCGTACCGTCCCCGACTCATCATCGGTGAGTCACGCTCCGTTACGCGACCTGTGTGTGCCGTCACGCATCGTGACCGCGGCCCGTGACGACAGCGTGACAGCGTGACAGAGAGATTCGTCGCCGGCTGGCACCATGACGGATGGATTCACTCGGAACTGTCACACGTGATGTGGGGGAGGGGATACATATTTAATTCATGTTCAGCTGTCAAACAGGGGATGTGCGTAGTATTATGGTCTACGGATTATGTCTGCACTGAAGTTCTGATCTTTGAACGGGAATCTTGCAGTGGTCGTTTTTTCATTCATTATTTATCTGTCAGTTGAATGCCTTCGTGATCGGTGATGCTAGTAGTATATTGTTTTCTCGTCAATATCTTCAAAATTTCGAAATAAAAGATGGCTTGCTAGATGCTATCCATAACCGTTAGTGCTTAGTTTAAAAAAATCGAAATAACACCTTCATGCTTACACGAAGCTTGGCTGAAAGAAGCCTCACCTCAGACATCGTTTGACGCGGTCGTGCATCTTCAGCCACGCTGACAAGATGTTGTCATCGGTCGGGACGTCAGATAACCGAACGCGAGGACGAGACACAAAAGATTCGCCGCGTGTCGGTGTCATGAGGAGCCTCGCCCGGCCCGCGGGCCTCAGTTGCGCCACGCTGACCATTAATCAATGCCCGCTTGCCCAAGGGAGGCGCGCGCTAGGCACCGCGCTCGGCGCGCCGCGGCTCGTCGTCGGCCGGTGCGTGTGCCTACCGCCGACGCGCGGTCGGCGCCTCGCGCGCAGTGAGGTAACGACACCTTTCACGGGGTCGGCAGCGGCGCGGCGCCGGTCGCGCGCCCGACAGTGACCCGCTGGGAGCCGCCGGTCGACGCTGTAACCGACCCGGCGACCCCGCCCTGACGCCTCCCCGCTGCGCGGCCTCGCGAGGACGCCACGAGATCACAGGGAGGAGAGAGACCGATGACAACGGGTACACTGGGTAGGGAGTGACCGAGAAGAATGGGAGGGGGAGACTGATACTCTGTCATCCAGTGCCTAAATTAGATCAAAGTGGCTGCCTTGCTTCGGGATATTCGTGTCGTCCGGATGATTGTCATCCGTCTCAGTCTCTAACGGCCTGAGGCCTGCCGGAGGAAGTGACCCGTCCTTGGTGACAGGTGCATCCCGTCCTGCCTCCGACAGCCGGGGGGCGGAGGACTGTCCCACTCCGCACTCCGCCTATAGCGGGCCAGCTGTGGCGCCCGACTGCCGCGCCGGCTCCGCTCGAATAATTGGCCCGCGGCCCGGGGTCACGGTCTTCAGAACGGCCCGCCGACGGTCCCACCAGTCGACCCGAGCCCAAGCGTCCCACACTGAGAGGCAGGTCCTCCAGGCCAACGGCGAAGACTCCAACCGGGACGACTTACGTATGGCGGGGTGAATACGGTGGTGATAATGCCCGATGGCTTGCTCTGGCATGTACTCATCGCGGGGCTTCGGAGAACATGGATTGGTTTGGCAGGACGCTACCTTTTCATGGCTTCTTCCAGCCTAGGCTACCAACTTAAGCAGCGAGAGGTAAAATGTCATAAATGCGGTAGAATGTTATAAATGCGGTAGCCTAACATAAAATGGCATCTCTCCCACTCACCGTCTGTGTTATAAATAGATCGGATTATATAAACCAAATAAAACCAAACGTAGTGAATGGTGCCCTTATCGTAACCACGAATCACATACCTAATGCATAAGATGTAGATACCTCATCCTTTGACCCAGACGCGTCGACCTCCGCTCGGTGGAGCCGTGACCTTTGACCTCGCGACTGACGATCGGTGCGCCGCGCGGGACAAGTGGTCGCCCGGCCATTGTTGGCTGTCGGTTCGTGCACGGCTCAATGGTAGGGATCCGGCCACTTTGGCACATGCCAAGGCTGCCGTTCGACAGCAAAAACACGGACAAAACACTGTCGTGGAGCGCTGCCACGCCGCGACGGATGCGCTCCCATGACTGAGACTGAGAAGTTGGCATTGTTACCTCACTGTGAGTCTGGTTCAACGTTCAGACATGAGTCGAGCGGCAGGAGGCCAGTCTGTTGCAAAACTCGATCTCATGCCAGTGTCTGGCGGCTGCTCTGCTATCTCAGTGCAGGGCACCGTCAGAGACATATCACTGGTACGACAGTTGTGCAGACAGGCGCATGTGTCTCAAGAGGCGCCCTGGGACGCGAGCTGCAGCAGATAAATGTGCCCCTGTCAGCGGTAGGCAGAAGCTAAGAAATGCCGTCTAGACTGTCGACGTCGAGCTATCGCGAATCACACTCATCCCAAAAGGGACGCCAATTCTAACTGTCGAGCGTGCATCGTACTAAACGATGCCTTTTCTGTTTCCCTCAGGTGAAGGCCGGTATGGCAGCGGCGCGCGGGGCGCGGAGGGCCGCCCGCCCCGAGCCGCCTGTCGGCTTCAGGCCCCGCCGACGCACCTGTCGATGGCTCCTACTCGTCACACTAACGGTGAGTACCCAGTACCCACAACTACCCACTAGTTACTACCCACTACCCACCATCTATACCCAACCCATACCCACGAGCAGGCGATTAGCGAAGATTTCTCACGGCACACCAATGCAGTGTCTTGCCAACGCCATGGGGCAAGTGCAAGTTGACATTGTTCCCAAACCATGACTTGCAAAAACATGAAGTGGGTACTTCGAATCCGTTATTTAGTCACTCTCCACCATTATTCGCCTCATATCTTACGAAAATGCCAATCATAGCATGTGATTGTGGACTAATGTATGCAGCACGAAGCATCCGAGTACAAATGTTGTTAAAATGTTTGAAACTCTTAGCCCATCGAAATAGCAACCGCAGCGGTGCGTGGCACGGAGAAAATTTCAGTCCCAAGTCCATCCTGTTGTGAAGCGGCAGGGCTGGTGTGTAAGGGTGACCTGCTGGATAGGTTCAGTTCAGGAGCGCCACGATCGTTTGATAGGTACAGGAAAGTAACGACCGTGTGACGCCGCTGTGACTCGGTATGTCAGCATGCGGGGTGATGACGGATGTTGGGAGGCTCATGAACATTCAGCGCGTTTTATCCAGCCGACACAAAAATAGTTTCATGTCTATTCTGTGTCATGTGTCTAACAGCCATGCATATATAATCTCTCGATAAAATTTATGACGGGCGCGTTCCAGACAGTTCCTAGCGCCCAATCATGCTCAGCGAGGCGACCTATACCGTCTATCGTGTCTCATATGACCTCAACAATGAAAAATCCTCGCACGAATTCCCAGCCGGATGTATGATACGTTGGCAACTTGTCAGCCAATGCCAGCAGGTCAGCTATTATGGCGGATCAGAAGGCTAATGGCCAATCGGGTCATGCTGCCTCCCGGAAAAAAATCTAATGAGTTGACGTGTTAATGGATGTATGGGTCAAAACTCATTTAGCAGGATGCCGTCTGGTTTACGATGAAGCATTGTTGTTGGCCTGACTATGTTGCAACACGTCTGGGAATTGCATGACTAGCTCACGTTGTCTTTAAATTACCGCACAATTTGGGAAGATAATTGCTTGAAGCCTGAGACGTGCGAGATTGAATAAGAGACTGATCATAACCTATACCTATCAGTGCATTAGTTCCCAGGAGCGCATCCCAACAGATACCTACCTCATGGAAATCTAACTGGATCCAACTAGGTACCTACAGGCTACTTTTCTTGCTGAACACCTTTATGTTTGCTTGCCAAGGGCAAGGCTGAAGTCTTTAATTCTATTTCACAACGAAGTAGCCATAGCATTCGCGTTAACTGTGACGAGCTGTAATATTTTACACTGGGGCATGAAGAGTCATTCAGTTTAGTATTGTGTAAGTGGAATGGCGGCTGAGTTATAGGCGGGTGGTGGAGCCGACGGCGGCCGCTGGGCGCTCGTACGCCATTCTCGGACGCCCGTTTAGCGGTGAGGCGAGACGGACGCTTTATCGCCAGTTTTGCCTAATCGTAATCACTGGGCAGACCGGAGAAGCTCGTGATTTTCGCAATGGATGGGCGGGTGCATAAGTGAATGCCGAGGTGCCGAGCGACCCAATCGCTGCCAACGCAGCAGAGGATCGCTCCATCTATCGATAGAGAATAGAGATGATATTATGCATAATGTTGAGTTAAACCAATCATTTGTGTTTGCCAACAATTGTTTTCATATAGTTTACGAGCAGGACGGTGGGTTGGGTAGCCATGATAAATGGTAATGGTTAAATTAAAAAAAGACCGAATGATTTCTAACTTTTGATTCTCTGGAAGATGTTTGACTAACAAACAGAAATTGGGATTTGGTAGGTTTGAATGAGTCGCTTCATGAAGCTTCTCACGTCCATCTCCGTCTTGCGTTTCTCTCTCTCTCTCTCTCTCTCTCTCTCTCTCTCTCTCTCTCTCTCTCTCTCTCTCTCTCTCTCTCTCTCTCTCTCTCTCTCTCTCTCTCTCTCTCTCTCTCTCTCTCTCTCTCTCTCTCTCTCTCTCTCTCTCTCTCCTTTCTTTCTCTCTCTCTCTCTCTCTCTCTCTCTCTCTCTCTCTCTCTCTCTCTCTCTCTCTCTCTCTCTCTCTCTCTCTCTCTCTCTCTCTCTCTCTCTCTCTCTCTCTCTCTCTCCCCTCTGACCGCCCTCTCCGATGAGTTGCAGGCGGCTCTCTGCCTCCCGGTGGTGTCTGCCGCCTCTGTTCCGGACTCCACCTCTGACCGGCTTCTGGCTCACGTCCTGCGGCGCAAGGCTCAGCTGGAGCGGCGGCAGCGGCTGCCGATCGGTCGCGCTCCCAGCTCGGCGCTGCCGCCCAACGGCCTCCGGCAGCTAGAGTCAGTCACGCCGCCGCCCGGTGAGCACCGCCCCCGCCGCCGCCGCCGCCGCCGCCGCCGCCCCGACCGGCCGGGACGGAACCGAGGGTCACCAGGGGCAAGGCCGCCGCTCTCGACAAGACACGAGCGCGCCTGAGAGCCTTCTATTGGGAGCAGGGACGCCCCATGCCCCTACACTGCTTCTTCCAAGGATTCATTGTGTGTGTTCCAATAGATAGAGCTGCCGGCCCAGCAGGCGAGCCTTCCGGCTTCGTGTCATGAAAAAACGTGACGTATGTGCCGGTTATCGTGGTGGTAACTGATCGTATGTTCAGAAGAAGAGCGATGAAATGTGTGATAATGTGTTGCTCGAATGGTGAGAACGTTTCAAAAGGCAGTTCTCAGGGTGGGCCGTGACGATTGAGAGCGAGCCTGTTCGGTGACGTGGTCCGGTTCGTTGGTCCGGCTGTCGGGAGTCGTGATTGTCCGATGATGTGACTAGATGATCTGGTCCGATAGTTATGTAGTCTGTTTTACGGTAGTTCAGACGATAATGTTTAAAATTTTCACGGCTTGTGAGATATGCAGCTTCGGTCCTGGCCTCCTATTGTAATTACGCACCGTATTTGTTGCTAAGAATTAAGATGTTCCGTAACCCGATCCATTCCATTTCGGTCCGCTGGTCCAACAATCTGTTGGCCCTTTTCTGTAAACCAATGCTCGCTGCACCGTTTGTTTGTGGCCCATATTTGTTTGCTGGCCCATACTTTTCAGATAGTTCAGGTAGCTCTGTCGCTGTCCTGCTGATCTTATGATGTGACATTTCCCTTCTGCTAATGACCCTCTCCGTCCTGCGCCGTTCCAGAGGTGGCCTCAGTGAGTGGTCAACAGGTGCGACTGGAGGGCGGCGCTGGACCCTGGGAGGGCCAGCTGCGTGTGTTCCAGGGAGGTCGGTGGCGGCCCGTCACCGCTAACCGGTGGACCCCGCAGGAGAGCCGGGTCGTCTGTCGACAGCTGGGTTATGTCAGGTGAGCGACAGGCCTATACTTACTCGTTTAGACGGATGATATTCTGCTCTATTGTTGTAACGACGCGGGAGAGGTGAGGTGCCCAATCTACTTGCAGGTTGCTTATATCAAAATGTTAATTTCGCCAATTTTAGGTCACCGTTTATCTCGTTCGGGTGCCTTAGCTAGGCGAACATTCTTATTCATTGCGCATTGATATTCATTACTGTGATTTGTTAATGCTTGTCGAGGGAAATAAGCCCTTCCCTAATGCTGCACTATATTTTTCATTAATGTCAAATTAGTTCTGCTTGAGTACCTATTTAACTATAAGGATGAAACGAAATGACTTCAATTTGTTATAACGAGTTCGTTTTCTGGCACAGTTTCTACACAAAATCGCCTGGCACGACCGGACAAAAGCCTGTATCGGGCTGGGGCGGCGTCAGTCCTCTACAAATCGATAAATGTTCCGGAGACGAGGACTCAGTTCTCGAGTGTGCGCGCGCTCCGGTAACGAACGACAGAGAGGTGGGCGTCCAATGCTACCAGCCTGCCGACCTAACGGGCCGCTGCGGCCGCGGCGAGCTGCCGTTCGGTGACAACTGCTACCTGATCGGTCAGGAGCGCGTCACGAGACTCAAGGCTGAGATTCGCTGCCAGCAGGCCGGCGCTCGGCTCGTGGAGGTCACTTCACAGGTCAGAGGGCACGCCGCACGGGTCACGGAGCAGCTGAATGTAGCACGCGGGAGAGGGCTGGGGTCGCGGGCCGTGTAGGTGCAAGCGTACTGTCCGGACTGAGATGGTGTTGAGATGCATCATACTACGCACGCGATGGCTGTTGACATGATTATTGTTTTTGTTTCGGGTGTTCAACGACCAAATTCGTGCGTTATGTGCCGCGTTGTTGCTATATAATAGCCAGCTTATGTTATGACATCCACAGGTGAAAAACGACTTTCTGAGCGGCGTGTTGATCTCGAAGGGTCTGTCTGGATTTCACACCGCCGGTCACGGAGAGGCGCTCAGTGTCAGCACCAGGGTGTGGTCCTGGAAAAACTCCTCCAAAGAGTTCCTCTTCAACAATTGGAACCCCGGTAAGAGCCCGTGAAAAATCTCGCTTTTTAGACAATGTGTCACTCTATTTATGTTCTATGTATGACACTTAGACACGCCAGTTCAGATGAAATTTATGCTTATCGCTTTCTAGTCCCCTCGTTTCTAATACTAACGTGACTTGGTGCTTAGGGTGTTAGGTAATCACCACTGCTGACGCACTCACTAAATCCTAATTCGTCATCATCTCCATGCCTTGCTTTTCCAGAGACTCCCGGCGGGGTGGGCGGTCCTTCGGCCGTCTCAGACGCTGCGTACGACACTCGCTGCCTGACTCTTCAGCTATCCCGGCTGGAAGACGGCTCCCAGTACGCGCTGTGGCAGCCTGCCGAGTGCAGCTCTCGGCTGGAGTATGTCTGTCAGTCGTCCAAGCCATGGACCGGTGAGTGTTTTCAGACCGAGGCGGCAAACGTTACCTATGGACATTGATACGCTTACCGCCACACGAAGCACGAAAAGGCCAAACAAATTAGCCGTGTTTCATTTTCTGAGCTTTCCTTGATTGTCATTCGTTTCGCTAATAGATGTGCTTGTTGAATGTTGATGTCATGTAAAGCAGCAAACATAAAGCTTTTAGCAGTTTAGCAACGTCACCAACTACCGTGCCACAACTCGCACCCAGGGCCAGCAGACGGTTCCACCGGCCTCAGCAACGCCCTCTCATCTCTAGTTCCCTCTCTCGCCGCCAGAGTGTGTCTCGGAGAACGGCGCTACCTACACGGGGAACGCCAGCACGGCCGAGTCAGATCGGCCGTGCCTGCCGTGGTCGTCCCTGTCGCGCTACCCGGGCCTCAGCAGCCCGACCCTGCAGGAGAACTTCTGCAGGAACCCCGACGGAGACCAGAGACCCTGGTGTTTCACCAGTCGCGATCGGTTCGAGTACTGCGACATCCCTGCGTGCCCGCCATTCCTACCGCGAGCAGGTGAGAACGACGTGTAGCTTACAATACCTATTTAGCCATATATTTATATGCAGGAGAAACCCACTGTCTCTGATCTGGCCAGTAGGTGTGGTAAGATCAGTCGTTTTAGGACTGGCAATTTAGACATATTTTCTCGCTTGCCTCTCACAGGTAAGGCCGCTGTATTATTATGTAACTTGTCTCAGTTATGACCCACTGACCTCATATGTGTTGTGAACTCTCCTCGGCAGACACCAGCCGCCAGGAGCCGTGCAGTGACTCCAGTTTCCGGTGTAGTCTGGAGGACTGCGTACCTCGGGAGTACGTCTGTGACGGTGATGACGACTGCGCCAACGGCCGCGACGAGGCCATCTGTGACGCGCTGTCCTCAAACTATCAGGTCAGACAGATTTACATGTCACTGTCGGTCATATTACTGTCCGTGCAACGCTACGAGACATTGAACTATGATCCTTAAAAAAACTTAATTAGGAATATTTTGTGTCGTCTCTGGGTGAATCTGCGAAGTGCGAGGTCAGAACACAGTCAAACAGAGATAGGTAGTTACTTGAATATGTAGCGTGACTGTATGGCAGCAAACGGCATGCACTAAATACTTATGTTAAATTGCAGGCATTCTACTCAACATGTTCACTTTTTAAAACGCTCCAACGACTTTAGCTGATCATTCTCTTGATGTTAAATCTAAACTGTTTCCTGCGCTCCTTCACAGGCGTTCCCCAACAACGACCTGCGTGTGATCGGCGACTTCCGCGGCCTGGTGCGTTACACGGCGCGTACCCTGCGCAACTGTCAGTACCTGTGCCTGCTGGACCCCGACTGCAGCATGTTTGTCTACTTTGAGGACGAGAGTCTCTGCATCAGCACAGCCACACCGCTGGGAGAGGCCTGGCCCACCAGGGCGCCCGGTCACAGTCTCTACGTGGTTCTGACGCGCTACCAGGCCTGCGACGGCTACCGCTGCGACAACTTCCAGTGTCTCAACAAGACAGAGGCGCGCTGTGACGGCGTCACCGACTGTGACGATCTCTCCGACGAGGCCAGCTGCAGTGCCGACTACGGCTTCAAGCTGCGTCTGGCCGGCGGCACGACCACTGAGGGTCGTCTCGAGGCGCGCATCCGAGGCACCTGGGGCGCGGTGTGCGACGATCTCTTTGACATCGACTCGGCACACATCGCCTGTCGTGAGCTGGGCTTCCTGCGCGCGAGGCGGTACTACCTCAACGGACGCCGGTTCTCGGCAGACGGGGACCTCGATTATGCGCTGAACGGTGCACTGTGTGCCGGTAACGAGACGTCGCTGTCGCAGTGTACGCTCCTTCAGACTCCGGGTCGGTGCGTGGCCGGGGAGACGGTGGCGTTGGAGTGCACAGATGAGCCGTCTCTCTGCTCCTCCACGGTCAGCTCGTTCCAGTGCCCCGATGGCTCCGGATGCGTCACACAGCAATACATGTGCAGGTTGGTAGTCGCTTTCGTCTGATAGTTCTGCTGTTCTACAAGTGTGTGACTATTTGATGCTGTGTTATCCTAGTGACATTCAGTCTTGTTCCGTTACTAATATCCAGTCACAAAAATCGGCATTGCGCAGGTGTGGGTAGTGAGCCTGATCAATTACGGGAACTCACAATTCGTATGATATGCTGGTACATCAGTTTAACTTGACATTGAGGATGAGGATGTCCTAAGGGCTATTTTAGTGTTGACATGCCTTCTGTGTATCGACAGCGGTCAGAACTCGTGTGACGACGGCAGTGACGAGAGCGACGACGTCTGTGAGCTGCCCCAGTACCGGCTGGAGGACACAGAGGACGCCCGCGCGCCGCTGCTGCTCGTCAAACCCCGGCGCAGGTTCTTCCGCAACGTCACAGCCTACGGTTTCAACACACCTGAGGCAAACGTAAGTTATGACTTACCACGTACCAGTGAGCTTTTCTACACAGGATTGCTGTTGGAACTCGAGGATTATAACGTGGATTGTAGCTCAACGATAATAACGCAATGTGCCAGTGAATTAGCTTTTTGACTTTAAACGCTTATTTTGGCGTCAACAACAAACCCACCGGGGTCCATCAGCTTCGTCAATCCCTCACTTTACAATTTACATGCATGTCGTCTTTGCCGGCAGTACGTGTGCCAGCAGCTGGGTCTGGGCGAGCACGGCGTGCCGTTCGAGGGGCCTCACGTACCCGACGGCGTGCAGATGGCCGTGCTCTCGTGCGCGCCGCCGTCGCCGTGCCGCGTCGAACCGCAGAACTCACTGCTGCCACGGCTGGCAGCACGCCTGTTGTGCCTGACACAGCCGCCGCCGCCACCTCGTCTGCGTCTCTCGGGTGGCTCCGGCGCAGGCTCGGGTCTCCTGGAGGTGGAACCGCCTGCAGGAGACTGGGGACGCGTCTGCTCGCTGTCCTTCAACCGTCAGCAGGCTGAGGTAGCCTGCCGACAGCTCGGCTTCTCCGGGGAGGCGACGTTTGAGGTTCGCCCGCGCCAACCTGCCGAGCGAGCATCACTGAAGGCCATGGATTGTCTGGGAGATGAAGCGTCCATCGCAGACTGCGTCTTGCCGGCATGGATCAACGGAACCGGCACACAGGTAAACGAAGTTTCATGCTGCTTCTGACGCATCATAACTCCTCCACTATGCTACGCTACATGATTATGACCCTTATCGCTGACACACCGTTGCAGTTTCTCGTAACGACCTATTTGCTCCGTTCGCCAGGTTTGTAACGGCAGTGGCGAAGTATACCTACGCTGCGACGTCCCACCAGTGCGGCGCGACTCGCCTCAGGTGTCTGCACCTTGCCGTGCCACCGCCGCCGGCCCCGACCTGAGCCGAATCCTGGGAGGCAGCGCTGGCCGCATCCAGGACCATCCTTGGTACGCTCACCTGGACGCCGACGAGCTCGGCGAACGGAAGCTCAAGTGCGGCGCTACGTTGATTTCCTCTCGGTTTGTGTTGACTGCTGGCCATTGTCTGTATCGAACTGATGTGGATGCTGCGCCGGCCGGCGGTGGAGTGCTCTTCTCGCGTCGGCTGCTGCCGCTGGCTGACCTCTCAGTGGTGGTCGGAGACTCCGGGTCAGCGGTGATCGACGCGCATCAGCAGCGGCTTGGCGTTCGGCGCACATATCGACACCCGGCACATCGAGCCATCAACATCTACCACAACGATCTAGCGCTGTTAGAGTTGGACGGACCTGTAGCGTTCTCTGCGGGAGTTAGACCAGCCTGTCTGCCGCCACCGGACACTGCCTACACACCCGACCTCGACTGCTCAGTGGCCGGCCTCGGTAAGCTGGCAGCGGGACTCTTCGGCGCACTACCGGAGGAGCTTCAAGTGGGAAGCGTGGCTTTCTTCACCCGCGCCCAGTGTGAGCGTTTCTACGGCAGGCGCAACATCACTCTGGGCATGGTGTGCGCTGGTGATGACCGTTTCGAGGTGGACACATGTGATGGCGACTCGGGTGGACCGCTTGTGTGTCGACTGGGAGGTGCGAATGTGGTGATGGGTGTTACCAGCTGGGGACAAGGCTGCGGCCGTAACGACTACCCGGGAGTGTACACTCGCGTGGCCACCTACGTGGAGTGGATTAGTAGTGTGATCGGGCCGGGTGATGACAGCTGATGAGTGGTCAGTGATGCCGGGAAAGACAGACTGTGGTTACAGACTGAGGCTGCCGTAGGTACCCGCTACCCGGAACCTCACTTCAGAAAAAAAAACTTTGGGCGGACAGGGTGGACTCACGGGCCCTAAAGTACCGTCGTGGTGGATCACCACCCATCGTGAGCTTGTGACGTGCTTCCCGAGGTGCAATCTGAAGGACCTGAAGAAGTGACAGAAGTGAAGGAATCTGAAGAGTGAACGTTTGCGAGACGGGACGTTGTGGATGGAAGGAGCCCTATGAAACAGTTTTGGTCCGTGCTGGCTACGCGGTAGATTGTGATGCAGTACTGATCATGTTGTCATTTCTAACTCAACATGACGTTGCGCCCGAAGGTAGCGCCCGTCAGCAAAAGACGCTTTTAGTTGACATTTGTGAAAGTTGAAGAGGAAAGCAGTGGTGTTTGGCGCATTGTTTGAGCACATCGCGGGATCGATGCGCTTGTTTTTTGTAGGAGATGGATGAAGACTTCCACGGGATGATGTGAGAGCAATTTTTTTTAGTTGGATCGCGACGTGCAGGATATTTTTATTAGTTGTGACGAACGACGTATGGGTGTATGCGGTGTAGAGGGCGCCACTCGGTGCCTATCTGAGAGTCCGTGCAGTGGTGGTATTGGTTCGCGTGTAGGTCATGCCACTGTGCCGTGGCGCGACCCGTTTACCTCTCGTCAGCGGGCTGACCGAAATACCCCTGCCCGAGGTAGATACGGACGTTGTCGGGTACCTGGCAGCGTTTGCTGGAAGGGTGGAGAATGGAGATAACCACTGTGGCAGCCGCCGCAGCGTGCCAAAGCTCAGAGCTCGAGTGATGCTGCCGGTTGTGGATTTAGTGTTTCGGGGAGAAAGAGATGCATTGTAGAGGATGTATTGTCACCTAAAACTTCCAGTTTTCCGTTGCCTGGCTACAGTTTTTCGTAATTTTTGCTTGTATTTTCATATCGTCAGTTTTTACTGTTCATAAATATAAACCGTCTAAGAATGGGTGATCCTATTCCTCCCATATAATGAAAGTCCATTGAAATACATGATATTTACCGAGTCGTCTTGGAACACTCGTAGGCACTAGAAACTTGTTTCTGGCTTGAGGAACTGTAAAATCCAACCGTATTTAACAGCGATATGCACGGCAATTCCTTGACATTAATGTTCCAAGTACACGAAACATGGATGGAAAGATGCTATCGAGGACTGTCGAGCGGTGAAGGGGGTTACACGTTGCTCAGTGAATGCCGATACTACTTACTTAGTACTTACTTAGTACTTCTTTGCGTCACGAATCAAATCTCACATGTTCTTCATGGCACCATAGGTTCATAGGAGTTTACAAGTAACAAAACTAGCAAACTTTATTTCACACAAAGCCCGTTGTATGCACATTTCCTACCGTGGCATTCAGGCAACCATGTCTAAAATCACAGTCAACAGGTCCTCTGGACTGAACCGGCGGTATCGGCTTCAGTTTATGTCTGAGAGCAGCCCTCCACCTCTTCACACTCGACTGCTGAGCTCGGCAATTTGTCTCTTTAACCCGCGCACCGACGGGGGGGGCGGATATCCGCCCCCCCTGAGGTTTTTCGCGAATAGCGGGAAAACCGCGGCGCGTAGCGCCGCGAAATTTGGTATGACTATAACCTCATCAATTTTACACATGGTGTGCAAGTTTGAACTTCCTACCTTTTAAGGTCAGGTCACCAGGTCACTTTGAATGACCCAACCTCAAGTCACTTTTTTGCAACTTTGTCACCGTGCCAGAGCTACAGTAGATGTCGGAGGCCTTTGAAAGTCGCAGGATATTATTAGGTCATTAGTAGCTACAATTTGTATATCTCGGAATTTTGATATCGGTGACCTAAGGTCAGGTAAATTTCGCGACCTCCCCATTATAAGTCAATGGGGGAAAAATCAACTCCCTGTTTTTACCACTAAAACGGGTCGGAATGGCCCCATATACCATATATGACTTCATATACGATCAACCTTCACTACCTTGAGGTCTGTTTTGCTGTTGGGCAGCTGTGAGGTCATGTGACGTCATCAAAGGTCACCAAAGGTTTTTGGCCAATAACTCCGTACAGGAACAAGATACAGACGCGTGGATGGTCTCATTGTGTTCAGCTCGTCAAGACGCATCGAATGATATACATGATGACCTCGAGGTCACGTCACCTGAGGTGAACCTTTGACCTTGACCTTTCGAGGTCAACATATATATCATTCGATGCGGATTGACGAGAGGGTCACGATGATGCCCTTAGTTTGTTCCTATCTTGACTAATTCGAAAGTTATTCGAGAAAAACTCTCCATATCTAGCGCCGCCATTTTGACTTTTTCGACCCCTGTGACGTCATCTTTGACCTGACCTGAAAATGACCTTAGTAAAAATTGTAGATCTTGGCCGTGCGTATCCGATGCCGTTTACCGCTTGTCGCTATCTTGCTTCGTTCTCGAGATCTCAGGGGGGGGGTCATCCGCCCCCCCCGTCGGTGCGAAGTTGGCGCAGACCCCCGTCGGTGCGCGGGTTAACTGTCACGGCTGAGTGCTGATCTCGACGAACCTTTCATTAACGGATAGTTGCAGTGCTGAGGTCGATGAATTGCCTTATAGCCGTTATCGTATATATGATGAGCTCTATCACAATCACATCATCTGACATATTCTGACTTTTTTTCGAGGTGATTGCGGAACTTGCCTCCACAGTCCACACCTTGAGGGCTAAATGCCGACGAGCTCATGATGCGTGCGCTGCCTTACGATTTGGGTAAACTCGACTGATTGCCTAGGTAACTTCACGACTGGGTTCTGAGTTCAACGCCTTTACGCTGGAGGTTTATCTCATTAGATCGCCTTTACTGTTGGGTGCTGAGTTCAGCTTCGATCGCGTCCCGGATCCAGTTGCCGAAGAGTCCGATGTTGATGTAGGTGACCAGCTCGTTACATTCGTCATGTAGTCGTCCCCAGGGCACCATGCCAGCCAGCACCCAGCGTGATCGGTCTCGCCGATGCCGACAAACCAGTGCCGATCCGACGTCCGCCCAGCAGTCCTGCTCGGCACCGCCGCATGCGAACGTATCGTCCAGCTGGCTGAATGGCTTCAGTCGCTTGAGCGCGCGCAGACGCGTCTGACACGCCTCGCGAGGGACGAAGGGGACATTCTGGTAGAGCACACCGTCCAGACTGTCCTTGCGAGGGTCGGACCAGCCACTGAGCACGCAGTCAGTATTCTCCCAGTCGGCTTCCAGCTGTTCGGCCGTGTCTCCCGGCCAAGGCAGACACACAGGACTGACGTCGTCATCTACGCTAGCCGGCGTGGTCAGGAACAGCAAGCCTAGGTCGCTGGTGGCCGCCGCGCCGTCCTGCCGAAACTCTGGGTGGTAGACGGCCCGCCGGATCGCGTGGTCGGACGGTGGCCGGCCGAAGTCGGTCTCGGTGTTGACTCGGTACTCTGCAAGTCTGACGGAGAGTTTGAGCCCTCCACGTACCGCCTCTTGGTGGCAGGCGGCTGACACGAGCACTGCCGAAGGATGCACGAGCACGCCACCACACGCCGGCAGGGGTGAGTCCGCTCGGCTCGGAGGTGCCCCGCGTACCGACGCCAGCCAAGGGAACTCACCGAACCAGGCAAGGTGGGTGGCGTTGCTGAATGTCTCGCGCAGCTGACCGTCAGCGGGATCGCAGATTCCGCGCAGTCCGCGCTCGTGGCGGATGCCGCAGCCGAGGAGAGGGTCCGGCGGAACCACCACCGTCTGTAGCAGACCCGACAGTGTGGCCAGGAGCTGGAGCTCCGAGCCGGCTAGGGCAGACATCCTGAAGCTGTCTGTCACCGGTGAAGTAGAGTGAACCACTCGGGGCCGCAGAGAAGGTCGGTCGCTTCAACGGGTCACCGATGTGCAGCTGTGGGGTATCAGGAAGTCGGACAGCTCCTGCCGGACATAGAACTTGATGTGAAAACTTATACCCGAACTCTCGGTGTCGGGAGTCACAAGGCTTCAACAATGCTTGTTAGTTTTATACAGCCATGCCTTTATCACTTCATAATAATTCGTCCCCTATGACCGACACTTAGTCGCCTTACCCGAAACATACATTTTCTAAAAGTACCTATGTCATTTCATTTCCATCCAAACACACAGCTGGGCACGAAATACATATTCAAATGACATGTTCCTCTGTCCGGGTCTTGTTGAACTGAAGCCGGTATTTCCACGTAAAATTCGAACTAATCCCGGCAAGTCGTGTTTCGCCAAGGTCATTTGGCGTCCCAAATCACGGTTTCATCTCCGTTACATAAGTTGTTGTGCGGAAGGCTGCGTTTTGCGGTCAACATCTGCGTAGTACCTAGTTAGCGAACCGTCCAGCATGAGCAGTAGAAAGTGGGTGGCTATCCCACGGAAAACAAATAGCAAGCCTACGGAGTGGAACATGCAATAAGTATACGAGCTGATGTCCATAATCGCCGTATAATAAATAAAATACCCTTGTCCGGAAAGAGAGACAGGTGATTTCGAGAACCAAATCGGCTAATCGTTGCGTCCGTCCATCTATCTGGCAGCGTGGGAGGTTAAATCAACAGTTTATCGTCATCTTGTCTACAGTACAAATCAGTCGTCAAATTAGCCCCACGAGTCTGACCATGTAAACATCCTAATTACCGCCAGCCCGTCACTTTACATAGCAGTTTCACTCGCGAACAATCTCCGGTCTCCGTTTGGTCGCGTCGCTGTCTGTAGCTATGGCACCTTTGTGGCTCGTGTTGTTTTAATTGCCTTACATTATCATCAACATCTTTAACCCATGAGCTGCTATGGGGGGGGGGGGGGGCATTAGGTTGCTCCCTTTACTTATTGTGATATCTCCGAAACCTGATAAGATATGACATTGTTACATGGTACAGCTTCTAATGAATGACTAGGCCGTACTTGAGGAAAATTTGCTGGTTGCAGCACTTACGATGACGTCACAGTGACGTGCTAAAATTTTGTCGTTTTCCGATGTGGAGCGTTTCTGATGTCACTGAGCATGAAACGTAACGGTAGGGTAGCCTGGGGCAAGACGCCCCAGATAATTTATTTTGCTACATAACTTATGTCCCACATCACCTGGAAGGCCAAATTTGTGCTCAATGCGTTCTTTGGACTTTTTACTTTAAATTCCACCCGTCAAATTCATTCACTTATGATCGAACTCCGAGCTAGGAAGTGATTTGTGAAGCAACCGCAAATGGGGCATTTTGCCCCAACCCCAAGGCAAAACGCCCCACGGCCTGGGGCAAGAAGCCTCATACTCTAGATTAAAGATTAAACATGCTAGTTGACTAAATCTTATATGAGAGGCCCGTTAGACCTTGGGAGGCACGGAACTGAAGTTAGCACCTTCCATCCTGTCAGGTGTTCAGCTATGACACTATTGTATGTACAGGTTTTTCACCTGGCTCATAAGGCCAAATAATAAATTATTGCAATGCAAATGTTAAAAAAATACTTCCTTTGCCATTAATTTGCTGAGAAAAGCACATAAAATTGCATAGAAACTTACTGTTCGCCAGTTACCGAACATTAGGAAGTGGGTATTCGGAACAACACATGAGGTAAAACGCCCCATGGGGCTTTTTGCCCCGCGACCTACTGGGGCGTTTTACCCCATCACGTAGCTCGGTCAAAGAACAACGCCTTGCACTCCAGCAAAAGATAATCTAAAACGGACCAACCCATTATTATAAGCGTTAGACACTAGTTGTTCAAAATACATAAAAGTCGTTAACACTGAAAACTTTTTTACCATTTCCTGAAGGGTAAACCCGCCATAGCATGGTAGCTTGACACACAGACGTTTTTTACCACCTTCCAGATGGTAAATTTTACTCTTTCATGAAGAGTAAACTCGCCAGGGAGGGGTAACATGACACACAGACGTTTTTTACCATCTTCTGAATGGTAAACTCTTTTGATTTACTCTTGTCTAGAGTGTAAATTGTTTTGGGTTACACTCTTTGAAAGGGTAAATCTTAAACGGAACCCTTTTCTAGGGAGTAACGCATCATCTACTCTGTGCTTTACCCTCCTACAGAGAGTATATTCTTCTGGCCTACCCTTTGTCACATGGTAATGTTTACTCTTTCCTTTAGTGTAAACCCCCCAGAGGATGGTAACAGACTCACAGACGCTTGCTTCAGAAGCTTCACGAAGCTTCTGTTAACCGGAGCTCACCAACTAAAAAAACATGCTTCAAGAGCAACAATGTATATTTGGCTTCCGTACAAACAATACGAGGGGCACACCAGCCATGAACATTGTGAGACTTCACTTATGCATACGAATTTATACGAAGCGTTCAGCAATGCACAAACGGTCAATAAACACCACGATACAACTTGAATGCACTTTGAATGTGAATACAAGACATTCAGCGCCCTCATATTGGATAAGGCACAGCACAGCGCACAATATTTGAAGAGAGCGACGGCGCCCGTCTGCGTGAGATAATGAGACTGGATCACTACAGTGCAAGGCTTTTTCAAAGTCACCAACAAAATGCATAAACTTGTAGCATCACAACAAAATTAATGTACGTACTCACAACCTAGGCCACGTGGCCGTGCACGGGGTCCTGTTAACCAGGTCAAATTAGCACCACTCAACGGCATGCAATGCTCTAGCACATCGGTACTTACAATAAAATGTCCACAGGGGCTCTATAGGCGATGAACAACACGCAAGCACAATCACCAACGGCCACGCCGCGCGGCACCGACACTGCTCACATCCTCTCTCGGAGACCAACGGCCGAAAACTGACAGATGCGCGCGGCCTTCAAACCGCAAACGGCTGATCTCGTTTCTGATTGGCTGAGTGATTCCATTTCAAATATCATCTTCACGAGGGTAAACAAGATCCACGCATGAAACGACTATCTGTACACGAGTCACGATACCCAGAAGGAAAGAGTTTTCGTGATGTTCTGGATCGCGAGAGTAATATGATATTTACATGGTAATAATACTCTTCGCTGGCGAATAAGGTCATATTAACCACGTGCCGTTACTATGCACATAATAGTAGCAAAGAGTTACCCTTTCAATATACTCTTATCTTGCTGGTTTGATGAAAATGAACCCTCTAGGAGGTAGTAAAAAAGTTTTGAGTGAACCTGATGTGGACAATAAAAGAACGCCATGATGCATAATCTGACTGCAAAACATAAAAATCACTCCAAAAACAAATTTTTGGCTATATCTCCCTAAAGAGTTATCACAATTTCTTTCCAGTTTGCTCATATAATGATCATATAGTGCGCGTTTTATAGAAGAGAGGATGTTTCCCCAGAACCTCGCCAGTTCCGAGAAACATCGGTGAGGCGTTTTACCTCGGCGGGGCGACTTGCCCCGGTCTACCCTAAATGATTTTTATGGCACTTACTGCCATTTTGACACATCAAAGTACTGTGTTACTCAGTTGCATGTATATCAAATTTCACTAAAAATCAAATTTCACAACATATCCTCACCAATTGCGGATATGTTGTGTGGAAACTAAAAAATGCCAATCTGTAATTGGACTTCTGACGTCACTGTTATCTCATTTCAAATGAACTGGACACCAAATGTTGACACAACTACGGCTACCTATTCAGAAATAAGTGTGCAAAGTTTCGCTTCTCTATCTTCTCGCATTACGACGATATCATCGAAGAAGTAAAGGAGGGGCAACAAGTAAAGGAGGGCCGGCGCGGCGGCTGGCGGGTGGCGAGGAAGCCCAGTATGCCATTTCCCGCCGCAGAATGAAGATGGGTGAGGATCGTCATATCACTGGTCATCATCTCATCCATTACATTTACTAGTCTTGGAACTTGCCTTGTTGTCACATCCTGCGTATATTATTGCTCTACGAATTACCGTGCGTCTGCTGTCCAGTTGAGGCACTCACCGTAAGTCCGCTGTCTCTAGTAGGAAGTTCCGTCCGCTGTCCGCTGTCTAGTGGGTGCAGTCCCTTCTACTCTCTGCTGTCTGATAGGGCAGTTCTGTCCCCTCTCCTTTGTCCAGCGCACAGTACCGACCGTCCACCGTCCGCACACCACCGGCACTGCGGCCGGATGAAACCGGTTCCAGCCCGCGATTGCCAGCCATCCCCAGTCGGTGCCCGGCACCTCAGTCTGCCTAAGCCCGCAAGGAAAATCCCATTCGTACGGCGCGTTTGAGAAGTGAACCTGCACGCAATCGCATTAGTGTCCCATACATGGCGCAGTAGCTTCGCCCAAAGGCTTTCGCTATCGGTCGGATGGTAGCTAACTGTAATCTTTATCGATTAATCGTTTATTAAGGCCTGGCTACACTATGCGTTTTCTGCGTGCGTTTTTGCAGGTTTGCGTGTTTTGCGTAATATCGTTCTAGGAAAAAAGTTATAAACAATATAATTTTTACTTTGGTTATATACAAAAGCTAATATAACTCTTATGTAACTAAAATTTAAGGTGAAAAACATCACAAAAACGTAATATCGTTCTTTTTTCTAGAACGATAGGTATCACGCAAAACACGCAAACACGCAAAAAACGCACGAAGAAAACGCATAGTGTAGCCAGGCCTTTACAGTCATTCCAAGCTATATAACAAATGCTTCCTGCGAATTTCATAAGCACTGCATAATATAAAAGGAATGTACACGCATTTACACCTACAACTATTTAACTATTTAACGCTTTTTAGAAGCTGTGAAATAAGTCAGTAGCTGCTGAAGATGGTTGAGAGGCCCGCCCCCCAGGGATGCGGAGCCGTGGGAATTTCAGACGGCTCCGGCTCCGGCTCCGGCTCCGCAGACAAAAATCGGCTCCGGCTCCGGCTCATGCTCTGGTTGAAATGTCATAGCGACTCCGGCTCCGGCTCCGGCTCCGAGTAAATGGTCCGGCTCCGGCTCCGGCTCCGCCTCCG